TTCTCACAATTCATAACAAGGGAAAACTTTCATTTTTTTTTTATTTTTACAGACCACAAGCTTTAGATACTATGATTCAGCACCCAGACTTAACCTCCACCAATTATTTGTAAAAAAAAAAAAAAACAAACAAACAAACAAACAAAAAACCAGAAAATTAAAACATTCACTGTATGACAAAACAGTTTTTGTTTTTATACTCAAAAAGAACAATAAGTTTTTTGGCATTAATTAGTACAAGATCTAGATATACTATTTTAATAAGTGTTTTGTTACTTAAGTTTCACACGAGAGTAAGATCTGGGATTATAAAGGCAGTGACAATCATCATTCATGTATTTAACATTTAGAAATAAAATTTACAATAAGATACAAATTTCTTCTTGATGTATGACCTGTAAAAAAGAGCTGCCTTCTACACTACCAGGAGTTTAAGTGGATAAGTTATATATTGTTAGTTTTATTGTCAGAACAGGACAAAAAATTTACTGGGTTATTGTCACTCTTTCATATTTGGAAACAAGTTTGCCCCGTTTTAAATTCGCCAAGAGAAAATATAATGGGGGAAACGTTTCCCTGTATACAGTACTAGTACATTTGTATTTCATTGTCCTAAATGCATGATTTACTTAAAATACATTTTATTTGACTTATCATGGCATAAGCTAGTATTTAATATGTAAACTATGATTAAACTAAATAGTTTGCGATCATTTTTTCTCAGTTGTTGATTTGGTTAATTAGTGCAGCACAGAACATCTTCCAAACTCAATAATATACAAGAAAAGCAAAGGAAATCATCAATATAATATCACAACAACAAACCCAAGGGCCATATATCGCTCACATGAGCACTTTGGCGAAGAAAACGCAGAAAAATTAATCAGTTTAGTAATGAAAAGTAAAAACATGTTCTGTTCTCGAAAAGAATTTTTAGAGATTTTCCCTATAAAACTTTGAAAGCCCAATGTAACCCCATCCCGCCCTACCTCCAGGGGTCAAGATTAATGCAAACTTGATTCTACGGGGATGTTTCCATATAATTATGAACAATCATGGTATTGTTGTTCTTGAGAAGATTTTTAAAAATTTTTCTTCTGTATTCCTATACCTAATGTTGATCCCCCATTCTACACCTACGGATCATGATTTGAATAAATTTGAATCTATACTACCTCAATGATTTAACATGTTTCATATTTTCAGCAGATTGGTTCTTGACAGATTTTTAAAGATGTGCCAATAATTTTTCGTGAAATTCTATCTCCTCTTGCAAGTAGGTGGGCCCTTTGATTGAACAAACTTGAATCGCCTTAACCAAAGAATACTTTGTAAAATGTTTGGTTGAAACAGTTTAAACAGCGTGGTTCTTGAGAATAAGATAATACTTGTGAAAAGTTTAAGACAACAATGACAGAATTGGACGAAATTGGATCAGGAAAGCTCACTTGTGCGTTTGGCTCAGGAAGGTTCTGGTGAGCTAAAAACTTAAATGCATCATATCTGAGCAAAAAAATATAAAACTCTAAATATAATTTTACATCTTCATTCTATATTATCATGATTATTCTAAAACAAATCAGATAACTCTCTGCATGAGAAATTTTAGCCCCATTTAATATACTGTAAATTTCAAGACAATTTCATCAAGACCTGAAGAAGAGAAATTATGAAACTGCTGGATACAATGTACGATAAAAAATTAAGACCAACTTGCATTAAAACTAAAAGATTGTCATTACATGGATTTCATTAGATTTCCCTCTTGTCTTATGTAAAAATTCAACCATAAAATACATGTGATATTACCAAAGCTACAAAGTTAACTTCAGTGTAGGATTCTTGACAAGATTTCAAAGAATTTGTCTTTGATGACCAGAATATCAAAAAATTAGCATGTTAACATTTTACAACATCAAAAATAAAAGAAAGGCATACATATCAATTATTATGAAAGCCATGAAGGGACACGTTGATTTTTCAAAAAAGTAAAAATTAATTTGCGGACTGTGCTATTATTACACAATCCGTTCCCACAGATTACCTATAGTTCCCTGAAATTATAATTCAGAAATATGTAATACACAATCCGTTCCAATGGATTATCAAAATTTTCTCACAAGCAGATTATCAAATTCGTTACCTCAAATGACACAATACGTTATCTCGCTGATTGAGAGGTCATTCTCTCAAAAAATTTAAACAATTCGTTCCCTCGGAATGTAAAATTTAACTCATTATTTTCATTGATATCAGCTATTTGTACATATCGGATATGGCAATACGTGTTAAATGTTAGAATATTGTAGGTGTATATATATTGTAATACATATTACGGTCCAAAATGAGAAAATAACATGAACCTACTCAAATCTACATTTTATAGTGATTTTTCTTAATGTCCTGATTTTGTTTTACGTGTATATTAGAATAACTGAAAGTCCTATATATTAAAAGCAAATACGGCTCCTGTGTAATTGTTTTTTATCTAAATAAATTATACGTTGAATTAGTTATAAAATATGCATATTAAAACATATAGTAAACTAGGGTATTCGTGACAACAAAATACATGAATCGCAAATTGAAAATAGTTGGATTTGAATGTATCCAACATTACATAATTATATACATATATACATATAATAAATTCGCGAAAACTTTATTGCCAAAATCATAAGAACTGATGTTCACCAATATCACACTATATTATTAATACCTGCAGTTTTTGGTTTTAAAACAAAAAAACGAATTGATAATCCGTATCGGATTGTGTAATAGATTTTATAAACTTGACAAGATAATCCGTGTTAACGGATGTGTAATTAGATAAGGTAACTTAAACCGACAGGAACGAATTGATAATCCGTGGGATCGGATTGTGTAGCTCAATCACATATTTTTTATAATGCCTGTGACATCGAAGGTTTTACTGCTCCGTGACTTAATGATATGTCCTGAAAAATCACTCAAATTTGATACCAATTTACAACATTTTGATATGAAATTTTGAAGACCAAATAATTAAAGGTTCTTTTATATTATGTGTGACATTTTGCCCGATTATGTCAAAATATTTTTATGTTTTGCAACAAGTCCCTTCATGGCTTTTGTAAATTATACTCGTACAACACAAATTATAAGTGTATTGATATAAGTGAGAAGTTATTATTACAAATAAACCTCTCAAATGTCTGTGATTAAAGCATTTTCATCAAATTAATGATTATCACACTTCCATTATCAAATATACAACACAATATGCAGCACATTTCATAAATTATTTGTAACAAAGATACTTTCTATTAAACAATAAGGCTGCTAGGCTTTCATGCTCACCTGAGTATCTTGAGTTTCTGAACTTGTGGGGTCTGAACCTTTAACAATGGGGACTTGAAATTAGGCATTTGTTTGAGGCCTCAAACAACCTATGTAGATTGTTCAAATCATTTATTTGCAAAATTCAGAAGCAAACATTATGAAAGAAGTTTGCCTGATGTCTAAGAGTAATGGAGATATTAAAGGTAAGTGTTTGAATATGAGACTTGTTCTACTTTTTCAGAGATGTTTGAAATATCTCACAAGTTTTACAGATGGCATTTGGTTCATAACAGTGAAGGAAACAAAGACACCAGGTCTGACCAAGGTGGCCATAATATAAGAATCATGGACATGTAAACACTACTAGATCTTCATACTACTTGTATCTATACATACTATAACACACAACAACTCTCAAAATCTCATAATATACAGTTAAAGTTAAAATTTACAAAAGTGCCAACATGATCTAAAAATATTTATATAATATAAATCCCAAGATAATAAATAAACTATGGAAAAATTAAACATCAAAAAACAACCAACACTGGCTTTCATAGTTCCTAGTGAATCAACAATAGTTGATACAATTCATAATAATTAACAGTGAACACAGAGTTAAAGCTGAGACCAATATGTAGAAAAATGTAATACAAAACACTGAAATAAAGGACACCATCTTAACAGGTCTGAACAGATCTTGAAAAATACATTTATAGCTACATTGAAAAGGATCGATATTGGGGGCTCTTAAATTCCAGATCAATACTGAACCAGCTGGTTTACAGAAAATTACTGTAAGTAGGTTGAAAACTTATTTAATCAGTTTTATTCAAGTTATTTAAGAGACCAAGTAATACTGTTCAAAAAGCACCCAAGTTAAATGACTGAAATTCAAAGTAAACTGGAATAAAGTTCATTCTAATTATATAAGAAGTCAACATAGAGCTTGCACTAAAAACAATGATGCTAATGACATTCATTAATTGATACACATAATGCATACTACAGATCTGATTTACATGGTATGTATATTGGGGGAGGTTGTTGTAAAAGCAGATTTATACAGTATATATCCATGGGGTTTAGTTGTAACAGCTGAATTGCATGATATATACTAGATATCCTAGGGGGTTTAGTTGTAACAGCTGGTTTATACAGTATATATCCTAGGGGATTTAGTTGTAACAGCTGGTTTATTCAGTATATATCCTAGGGGATTTAGTTGTAACAGCTGGTTTATTCAGTATATATCCTAGGGGGTATAGTTGTTTAAGTTGTCTTAAAAAGTACGTAGTTTTCCGTCTCCAGATGCGGTGTGACGAAAGAATCTTGCTTTTTCAAATTTTTAACCCTATTCATACTCTGAAATATTTTAAAAGACACACTTTCCCCAACATATTTTTTATCTATGCTGAAAATATTCAATTATCAACTGAGTAATGGGCCCAGAAACACGGAGAATCAAAACTCCGCTCAAACACTGTGAGGCGTAGTATTTGTCACTCAAAATCTCAGAAATAAGTTTAGAAACCTATTGATATATCTGCTTTAAGGTATGTGGGACATACTAAATTAGAGATATACAAAATATGAAAAAAATTAAACGACAGGTATTTTTTCAGCCAAAGGTCCTTCTTCCCCTTAATATCCAAGGGGTTTAGTTGTAACAGCTGGTTTATACAGTTTATATCTTAGGGGGTTTAGTTGTAACAGCTGGTTTATAAAATATTTAATTTCCTAGGGGTTTAGTTGTAACAGCTGGTTTATACAGTATAAATCCTAGGGGAGTTGTTGCAACAGCTTGTTTATACAGTATATATCCTACGGGGATTGTTATAACAGCTGGTTTACATGGGGGTGGAGGATGAACGTAACAGCTTGACTTCATTGTTGCTGTCCTGGGACTGGTTCTGTTGTCTGGTACTCTCACTTCCTAGATAGTCCTGATACTGTTCTGTAGTACTCCCGTCTAACTGGGAGCTCGACAACCAACACACCCTGTCCTGACCTTTCTGCACTCTCTCATAGAAAGCCTTAAGGAAGCTCTTCCTGTCCCTCACACCATCACTGCCCACTGTGATGGTTTCTGCAAGACAAAAAAATAATACTGCTGTAAAAATCAGCAATGGACCAAAAGATGCAAAATTTTGTATGTCACTTGTACTAATACATTACCACAAACAATGTCCTCAGGGATTCTATACTTAGATTCTGTGGCTTTATCCACCCCAAAAATATTCCTGAAATTAGAATTATAATCGTTCATCTCATCAAAATACATCTTTTTCAATATGTTGGCATTCATAATATATCATTTAATACATGTGTATGTGCAATTTGTCAGGAACATTGACTTTCCTTTCCCTGATGATTATATATTTCCATTTCTAATTTTGTTCTCTGTGATAACTCTTTAAAAGTAAGCAGAGTTGATTTCTTGATAATTCTAACGGAATGTAAATTAGGCAGGCCGATAGGTCAGGAGCTAAGGAGGCCTAATATGCATGAAAATCTCGTGTGCATCTGTCTCTGTGTCTGATGCTAAGGAGGCCAAATATGCATGTAAATCTTGTGCGACTGCCTTTGTGTTTGACGTCAATGGGTGAGGACTGTTGAAATTGGCATGGGAGTCATATATATATATGTATCATTTTAATCTATGTCTGCATTTTTAAAGTCTAAATCTACAATTTTATTTCTCAATGAAATGGAAAATTAATATAACGAATCACTGTCTAATTAGTATAGTATGCCAGGGACATCAACAATAGTGGGAAACATGGAATAATTTACGCATAATGGGCTTTGCTCTTTATGCAAATTATCCCAAGTTTCCCACTATCGTTGATGCCCTTGCATACTATACTATCTAGACAGTGATTCCTTAAATAAATACCACAATATTCAGAATTATTGTGTGTTTAATGTATTAAGGACTTCTTTACCTTCAGAACTGTAATACCCCAGGTGAAGAGTTACAATGTACATGATTACTTATAAGTATAGGAAGAGTTACTGTTCCTTATACTTAGGACTTACTTGAGAATCTCTGGAGTAGAGTGTTCTGTGTTAATGATGATAACAATATAAACATCCACATATCTCTTCAGCAGTACATCTCTCATCATACAATGCTTCCCCTACAAAGTCATCACATTTATCATCACATCTCTCATCATACATGCTTCCCCTATAAAATCATCACAGTTATCATCATATCTCTCATCATACAATGCTTCCCCTACAAAATCATCACAGTTATCATCATATCTCTCATCATACAATGCTTCCCCTACAAAATCATCACAGTAATCATCATATCTCTCTTCATACAATGCTTCCCCTACAAAATCATCACAGTTATCATCATATCTCTCATCATACAATGCTTCCCCTACAAAATCATCACAGTCATCATCATATCTCTCATCATACAATGCTTCCCCTACAAAATCATCACAGTCCCCATCATATCTCTCATCATACAATGCTTCCCCTACAAAATCATCACAGTTGTCATCACATCTCTCATCATACATGCTTCCCCTACAAAATCATCACAGTTATCATCATATCTCTCATCATACAATGCTTCCCCTAAAAAATCATCACAGTCCCCATCATATCTCTCATCAAACAATGCTTCCCCTACAAAATCATCACAGTTATCATCATATCTCTCATCAAACAATGCTTCCCCTACAAAATCATCACAGTCCCCATCATATCTCTCATCAAACAATGCTTCCCCTACAAAATCATCACAGTTATCATCACATCTCTCATCAAACAATGCTTCCCCTACAAAATCATCACAGTTATCATCATATCTCTCATCATACAATGCTTCCCCTACAAAATCATCACAGTCCCCATCATATCTCTCATCAAACAATGCTTCCCCTACAAAATCATCACAGTTATCATCATATCTCTCATCATACAATGCTTCCCCTACAAAATCATCACAGTTATCATCACATCTCTCATCATACATGCTTTCCCTACAAAATCATCACAGTTATCATCATATCTCTCATCATACAATGCTTCCCCTACTAAATCATCACAGTCCCCATCATATCTCTCATCAAACAATGCTTCCCCTACAAAATCATCACAGTTATCATCATATCTCTCATCATACAATGCTTCCCCTAAAAAATCATCACAGTTATCATCACATCTCTCATCATACATGCTTTCCCTACAAAATCATCACAGTTATCATCACATCTCTCATCATACATGCTTCCCCTACAAAATCATCACAGTTATCATCACATCTCTCATCATACATGCTTCCCCTACAAAATCATCACAGTTATCATCATATCTCTCATCATACAATGCCTCCCCTACAAAATCATCACATTTATCATCACATCTCTCATCATACAATGCTTCCCCTACAAAATCATCACATTTATCATCACATCTCTCATCATACATGCTTCCCCTACAAAATCATCAAAGTTATCATCACATCTCTCATCATACAATGTTTCCCCTACAAAATCATCACATTTATCATCATATCTCTCACTATACAATGCTTCCCCTACAAAATCAATATCAATCATTTTACTTATGATGACTTTGGCTTCAGAGGATTCTATATTTAACTGTAGAGCATTTGTCTACTGTATACAGGGTTATTTTCGCCCCATGTTATTTTCGCCCTTTCCCATCTGAAAACAAGTTTGCCCATGTTTTAAATTTGCCCAAAAAGATTTTTATTTAAGTTATTATACAGTTTACTTTGAATTTGCCCCGTTTTAAATTCGCACACTTCCGACTAGGGTGAAAGGGGCGAAAATAAAATGGGGGCAAAAATTTCCCTGTATACAGTATATTTTAAGGTGATACTGTATTCTTGGAAATTTCCGCCCATGTTTTATTTTCGCCCTACTCACAGATAGTTTAAAACTGGGCAAATTTAAACAAGAAATCTGTAAGCCAATGCTCACTAGTAATACCCCCGCTCTGATGTAAATAAGCACTATCATGTTCATATACACAAGTTCAATTACAGGCAGATGCACAAAAAATATGAAGTTGACATCAGATTCATATCAAAATTAATCCCACCATATGGATATCTCAACAAAGTCTGTAATAAAATTTCAAGCATCTGCTATGAACAGGAAGTTGACATTGGATTTGAACGATAACGTATCCCAATGTATGGCATGCCTCAGAGAAGATTATGTTAAAATCAGTGTACGAAACTCGGAAAAAATTCAGCTGGACCAGCAGGGCTGATTACTCAAAAAGTCTGTCAGCCCTGCTGAAAATTAGCAAGCCTGAATAATAAAATTCAATATTAAGGGTACGCACACTCAGACTTGTACATTTTTTCACATCCACTTGAATTTCATACACAGTAATTAATAAGATTAAAATTTTATTCAGTCAGGGTTTACTTCATTATAAAGTTATACATGTTATAGGAAAAATGAAAAATTCACTATAAATTCCTGATCTGAAATACATGTCCTATGTTATCATTTTTTCCCTTCTAATTTTTACATTTGAAATACATTGATTATAAGATATCATAGATACATGTAACAGGTTATGATAATATTTAATAATATCAACGTTTATAGGTATATTCACATGTATATTTTAGATGTAATGAGTACCTATTTGATTTTAACTGAAAAGGAAAAATACAATTTTTAATTTCTTAGTATCGACTTAAGAGCAATTTTTAACACTAATTATTATACAAATATGGACTCAATGTAGGTCAATATGCATTTATAATGACCCTGAATGACAGATATTGACCGAAGATACATGTAGTATATCGGCCGAGGGCGCTAGCCCGAGGTCGATATACTTCATGTATCTGAGGTCAATATCTGTCATCCTGGTCATTATAAATGCACATTGACTGTGCGTTGAGTCCATATTTATTATATTTATATAATTTCCCAAATTTATTAGTACAATGTATATCTTCCTAATGTTTACAGAGATAGTATTAAAGGTACTTGGACACAGATTTGAAGTTATTGTTTTCTCTATAATATTACGACCTATATATTTTGATAGCGTTTCACACAAAAATTAATTAAAAATCTTATTTCATATAAAAGATATTAAAATTTCAAATTTTTTGGCGGGTTTGATTGACACATCCTTGCACTTTCACAAATTTTGATTTAACTCTTAATACTTAGGAAAAGTGGCAATCTTGTTGTGTATGAAGGAAAAATATTAATACTATAATCCAGAAAACTCAGAGTATAGACATGTTCGAAAGCTAAACAAACACACAATATATTGTCAGTCCGTGCAGTTGTGGTAAGCAGACTGTGACGATCTAACGCACCCGGTGAATTCTAAACATAAACAATAACAGAAAACGTGCCCTGTTTACAAAAACTGTGTACATAACACGAGTGTGCTCGATTCGCTAAACTCTGTACGCAACTCTTAGTTCAGAATGACGATACTTGTGAAGGAGTTTTGCTTTCTAACATTTCTACTCTGAATAAAATTATTTTTCTGGATAAAAGTTTTAATATTTCTCATTAATACACAAAGATTGCCACTTTTCCTAAGGATTAAGAATAAGGTAAAAATTTGTGAAAGTGCAAGGATGTGTCAATCAAACCCGCCAAAAAATTTTAAGTTTTAATAACTTTTAAATGAAATAAAATTTTTAATTAATTTTTGTTTGAAATGCTATTAAAATATATAAGTCGTAATATTATAGAGAAAATATTGACTTCAAATCTGTGTCCAAGTACCTTTAACCATAAATAAGTTGAATGTAAATGTTTCACAATTCATTGAATATTACTCAGAGGAAATTGTTTCGGTAATGAATTTTAATCCATATCATAATAATAACGCAAGATATCTATCTCCGAATAATACAGAGTACCCCTTCCCCCAGATTGAGAATTGCACTCGTTTACACTTGCAGAGGAAATGCACTGACAAAATATAAATGCCTATGTCTTCTAAGATAAGATACAGTCTTACATGGCAAGCTTGTCTTTATTTTCTTTAGTCTCCGTAATCGCGTTATATTAACAGTGTCAAAACTCTGCTCGCCGAGTGGAAAAGTCGAACTCAACCATGAAATTGTATGTGCTAAGTATTCCCGAAAAATATTCACAGATATCCTTGTAATTGTTTTGTATTATCAGCCTCAGAGTTCTTCACTATATCTTTTAAATTTTCCTCACCTACAACTTGCGAACTTCCATGTTTGTCTAAAGCGAAAGTGAAAACGAGGCAGCTCGTGCGAGTCATTATTCGCTTTCAGCGGTCGTTATTAAAAAATAAGTACTTCGTATTGACCAATCAGATTACCGGATTTCACAAAGTTATATAATATAATTAATTAAAAATTACAATTTGAATTCTAAAAGGGTAAAAATATATTGTGGTATGATTAAATATAACCTAAGTTTATTTTTGATTTAATAAAAACAAGAATCAGTTAAAGCAACCATTGAATAAAAGCACACCATGTTACACTTAGATTGTAACCAATTGAAAAGTGTTGAATAATTTAGTACACTGGCTTTGTCTATATAAACGGCATGATCACTATACAAATATCAATACTTATTAATTCTTATAAATAAACACATTGAATGTGTTTGATTTTTATCTGATCTTTTAAATTAAAAAAAATGCACAATTTACAGGTGGAAAGTTGAAAATATCGTTTCATGCGTGAAAACAGAGGAAATTCAGGTTAAAAGACGATGGTGGTGTTCTTCATATACCTACAGATTAATTGATCAGTTATATTGTTTATTCATTGTTGTCCCAGGGAATAATGCCTTGTATGTACGTTGAAATATTTGGTCTTTACCTTCTCAAAACATTTATCTGCAAAAATGGAGGGGATGGGGTAAAATTAGTGCGTCCAAGCGGGCTGATGCAGAGTAAAGTTTATACGTCCGCTCCCGATTTAGTACACCTCGGGCATGCGGGCGGACGGGAATTTCGTACACTGGTTAAAATTTCAAGCATCTGCCATGAGTAGTTGCTGAGAAAACTGCGATGAAAATTTGGTATGTATGAAACGGACAGATGCACAGACAAACAGGAAGTTGACATCGGATTTGAGCAAAAATGTATTCCACCATATGGCATGCCTCAGAGAAGATTGTTAAAATTTCAAGCATCTACGATGAGTAGTTGCTGAGAAAACTGCGACGAAAATTTGTTATGTATGAAACGGACAGATGCACAGAAAAACAGGAAGTTGACATCGGATTTGAGCAGAAATGTATCCCACCATATGGCATGTCTCAGAGAAGATTGTGTTAAAATTTCAAGCATCTACAATGAGTAGTTGCTGAGAAAACTGCGATGAAAATTTGGTATGTATGAAACGGACAGACGCACAGACAAACAGGAAGTTGACATCGGATTTGAGCAAAAATGTATTCCTCCATATGGCATGCCTCAGAGAAGACTGTGTTAAAATTTCAAGCATCTGCGATGAGTAGTTGCTGAGAAAACTGTGACGAAAATTTGTTTCGGACGGACAAACAACTACACGGACACACAGACAGACAGACAGACAGACACACGAGGGTAAAACAGTATACCCCCCTCTCCTTCGGAGCGGGGGTATAAATACAAGTACAATATGATTTCTTCAGAGGATTGTGATTGGGCTAATTCAAAATGGGATAAAATTGTTTCCAAGTGTGAAAGTGCGAAAATAACCCTGTATACAGTAGCGACACAGAAGGGGACATTATATATACAAACCTTGGACAAACAGTGCCGCAGTGTATCAAAATCTCTTCCTATATTAAGAAAAAAAATTTTAAATAAATCTTGAATTCTTATTACAATTTGTAGTTATGCTGATAATATGGATGTTTAAAAAGTAAAAAATATGTCAGACCTTTCTCAACATTATAACAAAGATAGTCTGTGGAATCGTCCACTATCAGGTTTTGAGCCGCACCAACAAGGTTACTGGGGCCGTACATCACTACTGGGAGTTTGGATGTCGCTAAAACAAGGGAGGATAGCATCAACCAAGACTCATTAATAAGGCAATGTATACAGCTACTTGTATCATAATTAGCAATGATAGGTATACTATTCAAAACAAAACTTATCTTTAAGGTATTTTCAGCATCTTCTTAATAGATTAATGACATGTTAATTTGTGCATTCTGTTGTTTTGATTTAGACTCTTTTAAAATGACAGATATGTTTGTGAATCTTTACCTTTCATTGGAAGGACTCTCACAAAATGGCTGCCTACAGATAAACAGAATACACTGTGAGACATGTAATTTATATAAAGACAGAGATAGGGTGTGATATACAGTATACACATTCATTAACATACACTTGGATTTTTGGGGGTAAAATCCGTGTTCATGAGATATTTACACTTACCTGCCTCCTTAACTATTTGCAATTTCCCTCTAGTTCCCCATACAATGCGTCGATATATTTTTTTAGAGTAACTACGGTATCACCTCCAGTTATCCCCCTTAACTATAACTCTTCAGTTTCTCTCGACGAACTTAAAAGGTTTTGACCTTTCAACTTCCTCGAGAGGGGAGGTGGGCTGGGTGAGGCAGGTAAGTGTAAATATCTCATGAACACGGATTTTACCCCCAAAAATCCAAGTTCATTTCAATATTTCCACTTACCTGCCTCCTTAACTATTTGCAAAAGAATTTGCAGCCCAGTTTGGAGGTGGGAGAGGAAAAGTAAGTGACAAAAGTACATAAAAGGTACATAATTACCTATTTTTGCTTCCCTCTCCTTGATGAGTCCAAAATTGCTGCCTTGGCAAAAATGGACTGATGATCTGGAACATCTTTCAGATAAAATGATGTAAAGGTAGATTCAGATGCCCAGTGTGCTGCCCGTAAAATCTCCTCTGCAGATACACCACAGAACAAAGCCCAGGAAGTTGACAAACGTCTAGTGTCATGTGTTCTAACTAGATTCAATGTTGCTGCTTCTGCATTATCATAAGCAAAACGAACCATGCAAACTATCCATCTTGCAATAGTGTCTTTTGATGCTTCCTTGTGGTTATTCTGTTGGTATGTCACAAATAACCTATTCAACTTCCGAATAGTTTTCGTTCTATTGATATAAATCTTCAATGCACGACAAGGACACAAATTTAAATCCTCTGAATCTGTGGCGAATGAATCAAATGCAGGAATATAAATAGGATCCCATGGTCTATTTATAGTTTGAGTCTTTGCCAGGAATTCCATATTTGGTAACATTTTTATTCCTTTCCTCTCTATTCTAAAGTGACCATCATCTAAAGTGAGGCTATGAATCTCGCTCACTCTCGAAGCTGAAGCTATGGCTACCAGAAAAACAGTTTTAAGAGTCAAAAACTTTAGATCTGCTGACTCTAGTGGTTCAAATGGATGTTTTGTGAGAGTTAACAAAACCAGTGGTAAATTCCAGTTCGGTGTCAACTGACGTACAGATGGGTGTTTATTAAATAAACCTTTCAACAATGAAGAAAGTTCTGTACTTGTACCAATACTGCTCCCATTCTGATGAACTATTGCTATTGCTGACTTGTATCCTGCTATAGTCTGTGGTTTACACTTTCTCACATTGAAGAGATACATAAAAAATTGTTCTAACTCTGGTATAGATGTTGTAATGGGATTAACACCCTGTTCTTTACACCAACTGTTATATATTTCTGAGTCTTGCATCATAAACTGTTTGTGTAGATGTCTTTCTGGCATTTGCCATAATTTCTGCAATTTCTTCAGAAAATCCTCTTGACTTGTGTTGCAATTTGACAGTTTCCATGCTACAAGATTGAGAGTTTCTAGATTTTGATGGAAAATCTGATTGCGATTTTGAGAGAGAAGATCTGGCCACAGTGGTAGTTTGACTGGTACATCGATCAGAAGATCTATTATCTGAGGATACCACGACTGTCTGGGCCACATTGGAGCAATGAGAAGTACAACACTTTGCTCTTCCCGTATCTTCTGTAAGACTTTGGGCACAAGAATAGGTGGTGGGAATGCATAAGCATAAATCCCTTCCCAGCTCATTGCTAAGGCATCTACTTGAAAAGCATTGATGTCCAGAAACGGGGAGCAATAGACTGGCAACTTCTTGTTTTGCGCAGTTGCAAACAAGTCTATACATGGAGTTCCTAATTGTTGGAACAATAAATTTACAACAGTTTTGTTGAGTGACCATTCTGTCATTCGAACTTTTTCCCCCCGGGAAAGTGCATCTGCAAGAAAATTCTTCTTCCCTGGAATGTGAACAGCTCGTATTGTAATTTTGTTCTCCATGCACCACTGGAACAACTCCCAAGTTAGATAACACAGTTCTGGTGAGTGTGTCCCCCCTTGTTTGTTGATATAGCTTATCACTGTTGTGTTGTCTGACCGTATAAGGATCACTTTTCCCTTTATCAAAAACAGAGCTTCTTGAAGAGCCAACTGAACTGCCTTTAGCTCCAGCCAATTTATATGCTTCTGTTGATATTGCTGCGGCCAGACCCCTGACGTCTCCCAGTTCTCCAGGTGTGCTCCTCAACCCTGTTCTGAGGCATCTGTTATCAATGTCAGTTGAACTGGCGGATCCTGTAAAGGCATTCCTTTGAAAAAGTTTTCCCGATTCATCCACCACTGAAGGTGCTGAATTAGGATTGGCCGGATCACTATCACATGAGTAAGAGGGTGAATCTTTGGTCTCCACATTGCCAACAGGTATAACTGTATGGGACGCATGTGTAACCTTCCCATCGGAACCAGATAAATGCATGAAGCCATCAGTCCTAACAATTTGAGGATAACTACTGCTTGAGTGTGTTGACTTATTGATAAAGTCTGCACTATGTCTGAAATACTCTGAAACCTGGCCTCTGTTGGTGTCGCAATGCCCTCTACCAGATTGAAATGTGCTCCCAGGTACTCTATATGTTGGGATGGCACTAGAGACGACTTTTCCCAATTCACTAATAATCCCAGCTCCTGAACTAGATGTAATACATAGTCTCTCTGTTGAAGAAGAGTTCTCTTGTCTGGATTGATCATCAACCAATCGTCTAGGTACATGAATATTTGGATTATCATTTTTCTTAAGTGTGCCGCTAGAACTGCCATTATCTTTGTGAAGACCCTTGGAGCAGAACGAAGTCCAAATGGCATTGCTCGAAACTGGTAACTCTGGCCTAGAAATCTGAATCTTAGAAATTTCTGGAAATCTGTGTGAATTGGAATGTGGAAATAGGCATCGGTCAAATCTAGTGAGATTGCAAAGTCCCCTTTTTTCATTGCTTTCATTATAGAACACAAAGTTTCCATTTTGAAATGTCGAGGCACTATTAACTGATTTAGAGGTTTTAGATTTAGAATTGTCCGAAGCCCTCCTTGTTTCTTTGGCACCACAAAAATGGTGCTGTAAAACCCTTCGTTTTCTTGCCCTGCAGGCACAGGTTCTATAACATTTTTTCCTGACATGTTTATTTCTGCTAAAATAACTGATTCCTGAATACCATATCTTGGTACACATGTTTCCTTGATATTAACATTGGGTTGAATCATTAATTCCAATTTAAGCCCTTCCCTTAGGGTTTCTATTACCCACTTATCCTGCGTGATTTCGGTCCACTTCCTGTGGAATTCTAGCAAACGTGCCCCTACCTGGGGAAACATATTTACAGACTGGCTGTTTACGAGCTTTACTTCCTTGGAGTTGGAAACCCTTTCTGGTTCCCAAAGGTTCGCCTGGAAAAAGAATTTTTCCTGTTCCCTTGTCCTGAACGAAAATTGTCCTTGCTTGGTTGCCAAAAATGGGTAGTTTTAGCAATTTCTTCTCCGTTGCCTTGCTTATAAAATCTACATTTTTAAGAAAAACTTTTCTTCTACTCAAGACTGAATTTGCCATCACTCTTGCTGTCAAATCAGCCATACTTCTGAAACAGTTGATGAGGGCTTTACGTCCTTCCACTCGATCATCCTCACATTCAGCCTCATCTAAGAAGGCTGCTATCATAGTACCATATGAAATGGCTCTGAATAAGGCTCTTGCTGAATTGTCAATTCGCCGAAAGTCATTATCCAACTCCTTATGAAAAGGAGAAAGATTCACTTTTGATTTTCCAAAACTACCCTTCTGGCCTACTACTAATCCCTCCTCAATGTTGTCATCCAACTTTGGAGGATTACAAAAGGCATCAAAGTCATCCTTTTTAACCATAAATGCTTTATCATCTCTGCCACGTACTGACCTATTTTTCAAATGCCCCGAAGTAGCTTCTTTCTCAACCGTCTTAATCATGTCAATGAGTGTTCCTTCAATAGGCATTTTAAGGAGAGACTTTTTTTTGTCACTCTTGTCTCCCTTCAATCGCGAAGAAATAAACGATTTTCTTTCATTTTCTAATGGATCCTCGGCTTCAAGATCAATATTGAGTACTTTTGCCATCTTTGAAACAAAACCGTTCCACTGTAGCGGATCAGAAGAATCTGGTGCACCAAAGGGCACCTCTATGGCCGCATCTGAATTGGTACACAAACCACCAAATGATGCATTAGAATCTATATCCTCAAAATCATTATCTCGTGCATTAACAGACAACACATCTGCAACACTGGACTCAAAGGCTGACATTTGTTCATCATAAGCCTTAAACTTGTCAAAATGAGGTCTGCTTATGGTTGCCGTTTTGGAATTGGTGGTCTCATTTCCTCTGGTCAACCTTGCCTCGTTTGCTGCAAATGCCGATATGTTACGTTGATCATTAAAATTTTCATCAACATTCTTTTGTTTAAGTAACAATTCGACCTGCTGTCTTACTTGTTCTTGAATAATTGCGGATAAATCCACGACGTCGGGTCTGTTACGTTCGGCATTCAGCAAGGCATTGTCGTTTGACTCCTGGACTGCCGCCTCCACAGACGGACTTACGTCCTGCACTGCCATGCCGTCTCCACAGACGGACTGAGGCACCTTACTGTTCATTTTAATTGTTTTCTGTACACTTTTCTCGATCATCTTCGTTATTTTATCCCGCCGTTCCTTTGACCAGGTTTTACAAGTGTCACATGGAAAGGCCTCGTTACAGAGACGATGTTTATAACAAAAAACGTGATCATCTAGAATGTTCATCTTACCCGAACATTTAGAACAGTCTTTAAACTCTTTCTCCATAATTACAACGGGATAAACGCTTCCAAAAACGCCAATATAAACTTTATTTTGCACTGTATGAGGAAAACCGCATGTCCAATATGGCGTCGAGAGAAAACTGAAGAGTTATAGTTAAGGGGGATAACTGGAGGTGATACCGTAGTTACTCTAAAAAAATATATCGACGCATTGTATGGGGAACTAGAGGGAAATTGCAAATAGTTAAGGAGGCAGGTAAGTGGAAATATTGAAATGAATTTATTTGGAATAATTTTTTAAAAACTGACTTACGAGCACGGAATGCTAGTCGTCTATCAATTGGACACATCCTACGAAAACTGGAACAAAAAATGGATACTAACTAAAGTGCACGTGTTTTGCTTCACTAAATTTAAAAAAAAATTACAATATATGATAATCTTGCATTATTTTTCTAATGATTTTATACTTGTAATGGATCAAACCAAGAAAAACTTTGAGCTAAATGAGACCTGGAGATATCAAGTGTAAAATATTTTCAGAGTATGTAGTTGAGACTTTCAAATCACTTCCACATATCCATGATAATCAAGATGTCAATGTTTGAGATAATGAGGTTCAACTGTAAACCTAATTGTTCAGAAATATATCTCCTTAAGGCTAAGATAACAGCAGGTTCACTACACTGCATGTTCTAGTTTTGCATAATTTTCTGGGCATCTGATTACTCCATGTCACTTCCACCATCTGTATAAGTACTGTACTCTGCTGGTGTAATGCCCTCATATGATGTCCTCAGTACTTACTCTTCTGGTATAATGTCCTCAGTACTTACTCTGCAGGTATAATGTCCTCTGTACTTACTCTATTAGTATAATGCCCTCAGTACTTACTCTGTTACTATAATGCCCTCAGTACTTACTCTGCTGGTATAATGCCCTCGGTGCCCCATTTCCCTCCCTGCCTGTCGTACAGACACACTTTCCAGTATTTATGATCCCCCTTGCTGTGGTTGGTGTTGTACACTCTTAAAATGTCCCCCTTCTTCAGCGGCAGACATTCTGTCTCCTTCTCCTTAATAGCTGCACAGGCTCTACAGTTACAATTGTTTTCATGAAAAACTTATCTTGTAATCTCACAAAATAATTGTTTTATATACAGTGCATCTATTGAGTGTAACATATTTTCTGTCCTTAAAAGGCAGGTCAAAACTATGACCATGGCCTTATAGACATGTACTTAGACTTAAAAAAAGAAGTATTGCTGCTCATCAATAATTACCTGGATAAGAATGAGTCAAGAGGCAACATTATACTCCAAAATGTAACAAATTTCATGAAGTTTCATAAGCTTGTGATGAAAGATAGAAAAAATTGCCTCTGAAAGAGTGGATTCAGGCTGATGGATGAATGATTGGTAAAGATTGTACTTTATATTCAACAATGCAATGCAGACACAACAAAAATAATGATTTATCCTATATCATTATAAGTTTTCCTAGACATATTTAGCTAACCTGACATAGAAGTAATCTCCACTACTCTTCTGAGTTTCCATCCATTTCTTAATATTTTCAAACTCTGTGGGAAACATATGAATCATCAACCCTTAACACAAAATCAAGTGCATTGTTAAGTTTTCAATATCAAATGCAAATAATTTTAGTGTGCACTTTCATAACAGACTTTTGACTGCATGGTTAAGTCTTTACAGAAACATGACTTACCTTCCTGGGGGACCTTTTTCAGGGTAATTTCTACCTCCTTTTCATCATTTCTCTGACTCTCGAACAGGAAGGCAGCCCTAGCTTCAGCCAGCGTACGACCTCGCATGTCAATCTTACAGACGCAGCTATAGTCACTTCTCAGCAGCTGTACCTGGAGTACAAAACAAGCACTCAAACATCACAGATCAAACACTCAGATGATCTAGGTCTAACACTCAAGCAACACATGTCAAACACTTAAATGACAAAGATGAAACACTCAAACAACATAATTCAAACACTGCACACAGATCAAATATCACCAATCAAACACAAAATTAATGAAAAATCATGCACTGGAACAACACAGCAAACACACAAACAATCTGGCCCATAGCATTTGAACTGAGAAAGGACTTTAATCAAAATTTGAAATGATTTTGAGAATCAAAAAAAATTCCATCATCTGTTTGAATTTAAAAATATTGTACAAAACTGGAAATTTTTAAAATATTATAAAGAAAGAAATGTCTTCTTCAATCTGTTATTGACTTATAGAGATGACTTTTTTCATAGAAGACTAACAGAGATGACTTATTTATTAGCTAACTTGTTTTGTACTTGACTTTCAGTAATGACCTGTATTGTACTTGACTAACAAAAATGACTTATTTTGTATTTGACTTACAGATATGAATTAATGTTTTGTACTTGACTTTCAGTGATGACTTATCTTGTACCTGACTTGTTTTGTACTTTACTTTTAGTCATGACCTATTTTGTAATTGGCTTAATAAAGAGATGACTTGTTTATACTTGACTTATACAGAGATGACTTGTTTTGTACCTAACTTACAAAGATGACTTTTTTATACTTGACATACAGAGATGACTTGTTTTGTTCTTGACCTTGTCATGACTTGTTTTGTACCACACTTACAGTGATGATTTGATTGAACTTAACTTGCAGAAATGACTTGTTTTGTACCAGATTTACATAGATGACTTGTTTTGTACATGACTTACAGTGACTTGTTTCGTACATGACTTACAGAGATGACTCGTTTTTATACTTCACTTACAGAGATGACTTGTTTTGTTCTTGACCTTGTGATTTGTTTTATACTAGACTCAGAAATGACTTGTTTTGTACTTGATCTAGTGATGACTTGTTTTATACTAGACTTAGAGATAACTTGTTTTGTACTTAACTTAAAGAGATAAATTGTTTCGTACTAGACTCAGAGATGACTTGTTTTGTATCTGACTTAAAGAGATGAATTGTTTTGTACTAGACTCAGAGATGACTTGTTTTGTACTTAACTTAAAGAGATGAATTGTTTTGTACTAGACTCAGAGATGACTTGTTTTGTACTTGATCTAGTGATGACTTGTTTTGTACTTAACTTAAAGAGATGAATTGTTTTGCACTAGACTGAGAGATGACTTGTTTTGTACTTTACTTAAAGAGATGAATTGTTTTGTACTAGACTCAGAGATCACTTGTTTTGTACTTGATTGAGTGATGACTTGTTTTGTACTAGACTCAGAGATGACTTGTTTTGTACTTGACTCAGAGATGACTTTTTCAATACTTGACTTACAGAGATGACTTGGTCCCCCACACATATGCTGCTGTCCAGTTTCTTGGAGACTTCTGTAATGTATATCCCTGTGAAGTTTCCCCCTGTGATTTTTATTTTCTCGTCCAGAACTGGCCAGGTCACCTTGTATGTCCTCTGTTTGTCAAACTGGGCACTGGGAGGGACAGATTTAGGACTGAAGCCAAGACAACCTCACATCACATGCAGGCATGCAGATATATGTTTATTTGTAATATATAATAATAATGTACATGAAACTTTTTTTGTTTAAATTACATGCATCAAAGCAAACATCAAAAGAAAAATTTAAGAATTTCATATTTCAAAGGAAAGGTTTACAGTTTTACTTTTACAAAGTCAAATACCTTTTAATTACTTTGCTTATGTTTGCTGTGATGAGTACAATCATGTAACTGACTTACGGCCTCCATTTGAGGGGGAGTTCTCTGATATGTACGTTGAACCCCATCAGTTCTGCGTCCGTATCCTCTGACGTATCGCTGCTGATCGTGTTTGACACCGAGGCTCCGCGGGACACCTCACTCTCCGGCTGTTCAATAATATCAGGACTGGACACCTTATCTCCTCCTGTAAACCAAATATATCAACTCAAATCATACGTTCTACATCATATTCTACCTCACTCTCCGGCTGCTCAATAATATCAGGACTGGACACCTTATCTCCTCCTGTATACCAAATATATCAACTCAAATCATACGTTCTACATCATATTCTACCTCACTCTCCGGCTGCTCAATAATATCAGGACTGGACACCTTATCTCCTCCTGTAAACCAAATATATCAACTCAAATCATACGTTCTACATCATATTCTACCTCACTCTCCGGCTGCTCAATAATATCAGGACTGGACACCTTATCTCCTCCTGTAAACCAAATATATCAACTCAAATCATACGTTCTATTTCATATTCTACCTCACTCTCCGGCTGCTCAATAATATTTGGACTGGACACCTTATCTCCTCCTGTAAACCAAATATATCAACAGTCAAATCATACGTTCTACATCATATTCTACCTCACTCTCCGGCTGCTCAATAATATCAGGACTGGACACCTTATCTCCTCCTGTATACCAAATATATCAACTCAAATCATACATCATATTCTACCATTACATATCAACTCAAATCATACATCATATTCTACCATTACATATCAACTCAAATCATACATCATATTCTACCATTACATACAATGTCAGGACTCAACACATGTATCTGGCAAACGTAAACATACATTATTGCCTTCATTTCCCTTGGTTAATGCATAAAAATACAGTCTTTCAAATAGAAACAAAGAACTTGAAAACTTTTACTTTTTTTTTTTTACAACAGTTTAGGATGAGTATGAAATAGATAATAAAGGTACATACTAACCCAGACACTGCTTTGCCGTACCTTTGTGTAATAACTGCTGTACAGGAATTCTGGGGTACTTCAATGAGCGAGGTTCCTCGATGTCGTTTATCCGTAACGACCCTCCGACCTCTGGCTTCACGCTGTCATCTCGGTGAGGAAAACGATTGTCTTTTAAATCTGAAAAAGTGATTTCAATGTTGTTTGTGATAGGGGAGGGTGTCGGTCTCCTCTCGCTACGGCGCGGTGACGTCCCCCGGGGCTTGGAGGGGCACTGAAGGGTGGGGGGCAGGGTGTGGGATTTACTAGTGCCCAGGTCACAACCTGTAATGTACATCTTGTTTCTTATTTATTAACTAAATGGTTATTTTCTTATAATTTTTGCAATATAGATTTTTTTCATAATTGATTAATTTCTGCATTAATTTTTAAATAAAAATGCAAATTAAGCATTATTCCAAATATATACATATATCACATTAACAAAGTTTTGTTTTGAATTTTCTTTTTACTGTTTACATTAAATTACATATATTGAAGAAGTAAAAGCTAAATTCATTAATTTTATAATAAGCATTTACATATATAATTTTTTTAATATTAAGTAGAAGTAATTTATTTACAGAAGGTACTAGAGATAACCAAGTTTGATAATTAATACTTAGGTTGAAATAAATTTATTTACATACATAAGGTTTGAGAAGTGGGGTTTGGGTTATTAGTCAATGTTACTTTGGCATTAGTGCATACTGTAAATGTAATATATATTTGGCATGCACAATTTTTCAGCAATATAGCATATATTTGATTTAGTGCTCATCTGAATACGCTAGATGTAAACGTATTCAACAGGCCCCTAAGAGGTCATTTCCATTTTTTATAAGGGGGGGGGGGCATAATAAATATATTAAAATATTCAGTTGAGGGCACTATCAACTACCAAAAATTCCCTTTACAAGCACAACAAAAAAAGGTCAACAAACATTTTTTATTGAGGGGGCACAAGCAAAAAGTGACTGTTAATATCACAGGCCCCCTCCCCCCGCTCGGGTTCCTTATAATGGCCATGTATAATATAGTAGTATACAAAACCTTTAGCTATGTACTTGATTTAGCTGATTCTGCTTTTCGTCAGAATAGCTTAATAGAACACATATGGACACTGCCAAATGTATACCCATGTAGTTCTTTTTTAACAGTATAATTAGGAATACTGAACAAATTAAGAGTGTCAAATTAAAGAGCCAAGAAGAAACTATGGGGTTATAACTAAATGTTTTTATAACATGTATAAAGGAAAAAAAAAGAGGTGCATGGTCCACATTGCTCAGACCCTTAACTATACGTCAGACAAGTTTGTTCTAGAATTCAGATGAAATTATAGGCGTCTTATTTCTCTGAATACTCCAAAATAAATTAATGCAGATTTTTAACCACTAGAATATGCTTTTACTTTTCTGAGGCTTCAAACATATTTTAAACATTTACATTAACTGGTAATCTGCAGATCAAAAGACATAAGAGGCCAGACAAAATATGATCAGAGAAACTTTACAGGGTTTTATCTCCTGAATATATTATATTTATTCATTCACAAAAGAGTTCATCAGTATTAAAAATATGTGTTTAATCAGTCATATTTGAGACACTATAATAATTAATATAACATTTTATGCCTTTCCATATCAAAAAGTACTCTGAAACATTCACATAGCTATAGAATTTAGTTTTTTTTTAAAGCAAATTATTGGCATATATAAAATTACATCAAGCAGGTTTGTGCTATAGTGCATCATGGTTAATACATTTAAGAATTGAAATCCAAGAAATCATGCCACTTGGGTGAATTAAAGCCTATCATTTTAATTAGTTCAAGTTTGTTTATTATTTGTCCTACCTGTGTGTAAAATCAAGTCTATTTGTGTAAAAATCAGTTTACCAGAGCATCATAGAAAGAATAAAATGGTGCAACTGTGATTTTGGACAAAGTGATAAGTGAATATCATGAATTATCAATAAATTACCTTGTGCTGTAAAAAGATGTCATAAACTGTACCGCATCACTGATGCTAAACATAAGTCTACAGTGTATAGAGCCAAGATATAATGCTGGGAAATCTTACTTTTTTAGAGAACAGGAAATTTTTGTAAAAATCATGCTTTTCTATGGAGAATTCTTAGCATTGAATATAAGATTTTTACAGAACCATCAACAAAACCAAGAATTAAAAAAAAAAATAAAACAGAACCTGCCGGTTCTTTATGACATTCAGTATTTATTGAGGTGTTAATCAGAGAAATGAGCGTCGCTGGTTACTTACAGTCTTCTACATTGGACCTATACATGGGGTCCTCATCGTCAAGGTAGAATTCTTCATGCAGGGGAGGGAACTGAAAAGGAGGACCAGTTTAACACAAGATAACAGAGACAGTAATGTGAGCTTAGTGAAAATGTCAGACTTCACTAACAGAATGTTAGAATTCAGTGTTAATGTGAATGGAAAGTTCAGAATTAACTTTGTGTTTGGTTTTAAGTTACATGGAAAGATCAGATATTGACACTTCAATGTGATATTGAATGAAATCACATGTATTAGTATACTAAACAAGATTTTAAGGTAATTTTAATCTCATATGAATTGGTTATTTGCTTTAAATATAGAGCAAATTCAGAGAAATAATTTATTTACAAAGTTATGTCAGATGAATTGAAAGGGGGTAACAAATAACAACCAGAAGTCTCTGATGAGACTGTAGCTCTACTGGTCTGTACATATAACAAAGGAAATGTAGCACTTGGAGTTAAATCTTTGTAACAGGCAGCAATATTATAAATAGAATTATGTATCTTAGTGCACTGTACTTGTGTGCTAAGTTATATTAAAATCACACAAAAACTGTTGGAGGAATAGTGTTCTAAAGGAATTTTACAAAAATTTCTATTTTTAGTAAGCATTGCAACACTGTTCATCCAAATCAAAATCAATGCACTAAATTATGTATCTTAATGAAGTCAACTTCTGGTCCAAGTTATATTGAAATCAGATCAAAACTGTAGGAGGAGTAACATTTAAAAAAAAAGATCACAGAAAGTTCTATTTTCAGTAACCATAGCAACATCCTTCATTGAAATCAATCACTGATGCACTAATTATGTACCCTAGTGTAGTCTAAATGTGTGCTAAGTTATATTGAAATCAGACCAAAACTGTAGGAGGAGTAGTGTTTTAAAGGAATTTCACAGAAAAAATCTATTTTTAGTAACCATGGCAACACCGTTCATCCAAATCCAAAACCAATGCACTTATTCCTGTATCTAAGTGTAGTCTACTTGTGTGCCAAGTCATATTCATATCAGATCAAAACTGTAGGAGGAGTAGCATTTTGAAAAATTGTTTACAGACAGACAGACAGCTAGACGGACGCATTACCATTGCATAAGCTCCTCTGGTCTCTGACCAGTAGAGCTAAAAATCAACTGAAAATGGACAAAGACCAAGTGTGACTGACAGAGTGACGAGGTCAAGCCATTACACAATGTCTTATTTATCTAGTCTAAAGACCAAATGATACTACAATGAAATGAATAAAGACAGAAAAAAAATATGTTCCATGTATCTCCTCTAAAACATTGATAACTTAATGATTTGCAGATGACAATATACAATGTTCAAAGAATTTCCAAAATATATAGGCTACAGAAGATTTTACCGAGTTTTTAACAGAAAGGTAAAATTAGACCCTCCCTCTTTAAAAAATAAATAAAAACCCAGATAAGTAAGCAAACCAAAAATACTTGAAACACTTAATAGTAAACTAATAAAAAAGATACAGAACCATGGAACAATGCATGCTTATTAAAGGATCATATGGAAATACCAAAGAAACACCCCACAGGTTTTTTACCATTTCCAGTTTAAAACAATGTAGCTATTGATGGTACTAAATGTCAAAATCTCTTCACTTTCAACTAAGAAAAATCCATATGATCCTTTACCAAAATGTTGTAATGGAAATAAAACACATGCTGAAATACTTAGTAGATCAAAGCCACTTTTTCAAGTTGTTTTCTGGATGTAGTGACTGAAATTTTTAAGAATTTGAAGAAGAAAAACATAGCCAAGAAAATAAGACTTTTTGAGATTTTTTAAAGTCAAATATTATATTTTTTGGATGATTAGATTTTTTTTCTAATCCAATCTATCATACATGTATGTATGATTTAAATAAAACATTCAAGGTTTTGCATGCCAAACTTGGGCTTCTGTACCTAAAAATAACTGATATATCTTGAAAACTACATTCTATGTAGAAATCCTACATGTAACAACTAAATGTATACACATGTGGCTAAATTATCTCGTGAATATCTCCAAAAGAAGAGTCACATATGGCAAATTAAGACCGGTTATGCTCCATTTTATATGACACATGAAGCTGAAATCAAACTGTTAATAGGCTTCTATGGTCATCATTGAATACAATGCTAACATATAATCTGGGGTATGAAAATGACTGTAAAGTCAAAACAATGAATGATTCTAACCAAAGTACAATACTTGTTAGGAAAATCAGTATAGATATAGTGGTTGAAAGATTTGAATATTGTTGAAAATAGGATTTTTAGGGCAAATGGGGGATTATAAATTCTTAGATAAATGAATGTTTTAATTCAATAGTTTTGCTATAACTAATTGACCCAGTGGCAATTTTACACAAAATAGTCTTGAAAAGCAAAAAACATAAGAGGTGGCTATACTTTCACACAGGTTAATAATTCCAATTCCCTGAATTTTCCAACATAAGATACATGTACAACATAACTAAAGATACATGTACATGTAGATGTTAGGGATGAAATGCCTCAATTACATGCAGTTACATGTACAACAACAAAATAACACAATAAACACAGTATGTGCTTCCTCTTTAAGCCCCTTTGGTTTCCATGATGCATGTAGTCCATTGTCAGACTATTCACTTCTAAAAACCCCTCATTAAACGGAAATACTAGACTAATCAAATCTGTGTGTTGTACTGACTTATTCTTTAATCTGACGTGTACAGTACTGTAAGAAGTTAGATAAAGAGGAATAAGTTACCTCATATCAAACACATTAAAAGATTCTAAAACAGAAAGCTATCATTTCAGAGATCAGATGATTTTTTTTACATGACAGGAACATAATTTAATGAGAATGAGAAGTCTCAAGATATCAGCCTCTCTTTCAATCAGAAGTTCAAAGGTCAAACATTTTGATTAGTCCAATATTCCTTTAATAAATATCTTTATAGTATTTACCTTCAGTACTTGTCTGCATCTGTTTTATAGTCAGAAACAGAGTATGCATAATGATCATTTTCTGTAGCTATTTTGAAATCTGGACTAAAGAAGGCTTAAGATGATTAAAATAGTGTGATATATGGATAATAATAAGGAAAGGAAATAGGATGGTACTATATAATTTTGTTAAGACTTCAACAAGGTCTCTTAAATGAGTTATTCATAGTGAGGTATTATTTTAAGTTTTATTTGTCCTACAGTATATAGGATTATTTCACCCATGTATTATTTACTCTCTTTGACACCTGCAAACAATTTTGCCCCACTTTAAATTTGATCAGACAAAGTTTTGCTTAAGAAAATATGCTGTCTTTTTTTCAATTTGCCCCTTTTTAAATTTGCCCACAAGCAACAAGAGCGAAAATTTGACGAAAATTGAACAAGGGCAAAATTTCCCCTGTACACAGTATACCAGTATACAAACCTTGTCATTACTGGATATGTCATCAGTTACACTTGATCCCGACTGAAATGGAGAAAATAGGTGTACACCTAAATGTAAAACCATCACCAAATGTTCAATATTCACTCTCTTCAGTGATTGGGAAGGCCAAAATGGTCAATGGGACTGTGGTGCATTTGTCAACATTTTTGATGGGCCATCAATATAATCTGAAGGGCCATTTTAAGAAATAACAAAGTGACAAACAAATATGAAATATGAGAGAAAACACGTTTTTAATTAACCGAATCCGACTTTTAACGCACGAAATGCAGCAAATTTAAAGGCACTTGCTTAGAATATAACTGACCCGTATTTTGTGTTAAAATTACACCAGTTTTGGAAAGGGAACAGCCCTACCATACAAATGAATGAAGTATTGCACCTCATGTAAGTGCTTCGTTTAACCGGAAGTACTTTTTGACAGGTCTCAACCAATGAGATTTGTTGTTTTAAATTGACTGCATTTAAAACGAAAGTAAAATAAGAGAGAAAGTCGTATGCAAAAGATTTCCAAATAACATCGCTAAAAATTGAATGAGCACCTTGGCGCCATGATTTATTGATTTAATGCCCCATTTTTCACTTCAATGCGACTATGGCGCATGGCGCAAGCCCTTCCCAATCACTGTCTCTTATCACTTTCTAATCACACTCTGATCACTCTCTGATCACTCTCTTATCACACTTTGATCTTTCTCTTATCACTCTCTGATCACTCTCTTATCACACTCTGATCTTTCTCTTATCACACTCTGATCACACTCTGATCACTCTCTTATCACTCTTTTATCACTCTCTTATCACTCTCTTATCACTCTCTTATCACACTCTGATCACTCTCTCATCACTCTCTTATCACTCTTTTATCACACTCTCATCACTCTTTTATCACACTCTCATCACTCTCTAATCACACTCTGATCACTCTCTTATCACACTCTGATCTCTCTGATCACTCTCTGATCACTCTCTCATCATACTCTGATCACTCTCTCCTCACTCTCTTATCACACTCTCATCACTCTCTTATCACACTCTCATCACTCTCTTTATCACACTCTCATCACTCTTTTATCACATTCTGATCACTCTCTCATCACACTCTGATCTCTCTCATCATACTCTCTCTCTGATCACTCTCTCATCATACTCTGATCACTCTCTCCTCACTCTCTTATCACACTCTCATCACTCTCTTATCACACTCTCATCACTCTCTTATCACACTCGCATCACTCTCTTATCACACTCTGATCACTCTCTCATCATACTCTGATCACTAACTGATCACACTTTGATCACTCTCTTATCACACTTTGATCACACTCTGATCACTCACAGATGTCCTGTTGCTCTGCATTTTGAGTTTGGCGTTCTCTGAGGTGAGATCCTCTATCTTGTTCTCTAGTAGATACACTCTACTGAACAGCTTCCTGTTGTTTTCTTGTTCCTCTTTCACTTTCCTCTGTTCCTTATTCCTCTCCTCATCCAGCTACAATATAGAGGGCAATTTATCATCCAGCAGAAATATAGAGGGCAATTTATCATCCAGCAGAAATATAGAGGGCAATCGATCATCCAGCTACAATATAGAGGGCAAATTATAAACCAGCAACAATATAGAGGGCAATCTATCATCCAGCTACAATATAAAGGGCAAATTATCATTCAGTTACAATATAGAGGGCAATTTTTCATCCAACAACAATATAGAGAGTAATTTATCATCCAGCTACAATATGGAGGGCAATTTATCATCCAGCAACAATATGGAGGGCAATCTTTCATCCAGCTAAAAAGTAGAAGGCAATTTATCATCCAGCAGAAATATAGAGGGCAATTTATCATCCAGACACAATATATAGGGCATTTATCATCCAAAAGAAATATAGGGGGCAATCTATTGTCCAGTTACAATATAGAGGGCAAATTATCATCCAGATACAATATACAAGGGTTGATCCAAAAGTTCGTGGAATTTCTTCATATTTTATTTATTATTCAGTGGAATTGGTTGAAAATTACAAATGAAAATATAGACACTTGATGAATATTTTAAATTAAAAAACATTTTAAATATCATATTAACTTTATGGCAGTTGCCATAGAAACGGTTGTTTGGAAATATTACCGCGTTTATTATCATTTAAATTCTGAATTCGTGAAATAAGAATTAAACGGCCCTATGTGGTATATAACACGAAAATTATGTCATTATTACGATTGCTTGATATTTTATAAACCTTTGTGTGAGAGTTTAACTGATTTAACTGGATATTTAGTTTATAAGTTGATGATTTATTGCTCATCTTTAAGTTGTTAGATAACGTCAAATTTCGGTCAAGTCACACGTTTTGTGAAAATCCCGGGATCACTCTATCTTAAACGCGTATATTATTGACATAGGCTTGGGAAAAATGCATTTAGTTACTGGTTTTATAGTGGCATAAGAAAATTAAGAAAAATAGAACTTCCATGGACGTTGATAAAAGGTGTGGTCGCTTTTTAGATTCTCTGTTTAAGTACGGACAAATTAAAAGCGTTAATGGACGTTGTCGGCTGCCGTACTGTTCTTGACATTGCTCATGTTGCTACTGAATTTGGAACATCATATGGAAAGATGGGTAGTATTTTGAAATATGAGTAAAAAATTAAGTTGGTGCGATACTCGATCCAGAAAAAAAAAACGGAAAAAAGGCAGCTTTTTGTAGAATTGCGTATTCGAATTGGACATTAGGATGAGATGCTTCTATAACGTGACGTGACATATCTAACGACGTAACGTCGAAGTCTCTTCCGGGTTTCACAGCTATCCTATCCTAATTGGTAATTGGAAAGTAGTGAAATTTTCCAATCTTGTTGCATTATGATTATATTATGATTATACCTGTTGTATGCTTTCATCAAATCACGATAAAATTTTGTAAAGAAATTCCACGAACTTTTGGATCAACCCTCGTAGAGGGCAATTTATCATCCAGAAGAAATATAGAGGGCAATCTATTGTCCAGCTACAATATAGATGGCAATTTATAAACCAGCTAAAACAGGCAAATTTTTATTCAGCTTACTCAGGGCAAACTAGATATAACAGGGATGGTTATAATCCAGCCAAAACTGGGAAGTTACCATATAGCTAAAAATGGGCAAGTTATTGTTTGGATAAAATAGGACAAGTTTCATCCAGCTTAAACAAAAAGGGCAAACTTTTATGAAGCTTAAAAACAAAGGCAGCTTTAATCATCCAACTTACACCTATTCCTAAGTCGGTCTACTTCTTTCTTACCCTCTTTTTCTCTTCTCCCAATCTTTCTATCTCCTTGAAGTACCCATCTATTCTCTTCCTTTTTTCATCTAACCATTTGTCTTTTGTTTCCACCTCCTTGCTCAACTTTTCACAGTATACCTTTGTCTGAAAAAAAATGTTATTAATGACTTTTTAGTCAAATTCCCAAAATCTCTGTAGAGAAACCCAAAATCAAGCAAGATTCCCTCAAAGTCAGGAATAAGAATGTTAGCAGTGAACCTTCCTGAGCTGTGATTGAGCGTAATCCATCTCGTCTGTGACGTGAACAAGCTGCTGACTGAGCTCCTCACATTTCTCTTGTTCTTGTTCAAACTTTTCTTTAAGAATAGTAATCTCAATGTCCTGCGCACTCGTCTGACGATCAAATGGCTGAAATGAACAACAGAGGATTGAACTCCTGTGTCTTGGAACATTGATATGCCAATATCATGTCAAAATATGATGGAAGTCCAAACGAATTTTACTTCATGTATTACAATCTCAATATCCTGAATTCTCGGATAAGTTTTCTTTTAATATGCCCATAGAGATTCAGGAATGAGGTATAACTGGTTTCTTATTTTCAAAGATTTTTAACTATATGAAGCTTTTTTCCCTGATTTATTTATCTCTTAAATGAACCGTGTGTCTTAAACTGCCTATTACTTAATAAAAAAGAAAGTACTCAGAGATAAATAAACAACTTAGGCTATCTAAATTTAATTCTCTGGTTCTCAGGACAATTTTCTCCAAAACAGATGCAGGAGGGCGCTATTTTATTTATCGTTTTATTGGCAATAAAGTAGATGAGGGAGGTATTTTTTTAATTCTAATTTTCGAATTTTCTTTAACATAAAGATAATTTTTTTAAATCACAGATACACTTTCCATGTCTGATTAAAAGTTCTGCTTCATCCATTGCTTATCAGCGAGTGAACATCATAGGCAATGTCCTCGAATGTATTTTCAAATGAAGAAGCCAAAATCTGTTCAAAATGGCTACCAGAAGTGATATTTGAATACTAAACTACTAAAAAATTAGGACAGAATTTTTTTTCCAGATTGGTCTCCGCAATACCAACTTTTTATTTTATCAAAAATGCAATAAAATTAGCAATGCCGCTACCTCAAAATGGATGCGCACGGGCCTGAGAACCAGAATTTCAATTTTATGTAGCCTTAAAGACGTACAACACACTGGGGGAGATAACTCTTGCGATTTCAATTGAACGTTTGACGTGACGTCAAAATTAACGTCAGAAATAAAGCGTCAAAACGACGAGTAAAACGATCCCGATGTATATCAATCATGAAAGAAAATTGGGATATGGGGCTTGGCTGTGATTGTGTGTACCATACTCAATAAGTATTTTTTTAATTAACCCGATTAAACTCGTAAAAAGCAAGACATGAAATACCATCCCTTAAAGTTTATTTCATTTCATTTCATATATATAATAAATTGTATTTTTTATCAAAGCGCAGCATTTTTTTTATTCTGAAAATTTTATTTTACATTGCCGAAATTCTCATTATACACAATTGGTTATATAACATTCCGATTAATGATCTTCATTACAATTTGTGCATACACGATATAAATACATGTATTGTTTTTCTTCTTTAATTAAATAAAACAACAATAAATAAACAAAAAACTTTTTACAATGTAAAATCGATGTTGTTCTCAGACCCTTACTGATCAAAGAGGAACAACTCTGAAAATGTAGGAGATGTTTATTTTCCTCCCTTTATTCACGGTTTTCCACAGAATCAGATGTATACATTTACAGCAAGACCTGATAAATCCGAGAATTGAATACTATAGACCTCATATACACAATGTACATATAGAATTGAAAAGAATTGTTCACTTGTACTGAAATTATCTGCATTTATGAATATCCTATTGCAGCAAATCGTAACTTTGACTTTCTGTCAACAATGTCGGTTCGCATTTCCTCGAATCAAAACAAAACGTAGCTTATAAGATTTTAAAAAATATCAATGTGCGATTTGATATAAATTGAAATAGATGAAGAGTTTAATGTTTGATATTTTGAAGTTAATGTGGACGAATACGGAATTTTCATTTTAATTTTAGAAGCGACGACATTGAAAGAAATGCGTACAATATCATGAGGGGTGTATGTACATCTAATGCAAATGTCGATGTATCCCCACGGCCACATACTGTCTCGTTTGAAATAATGACATGAAAGAAACTACAATTATTCCATTTATAACACAGGAGAGTTGAACATACACCATTTTTAATGAATAAAATTAAAGAAATAAAATTAAAAATCAACATATTCAAGTTCAACAAAACTTGAATTCGTATCCAGGTTTCATGTTATATGGAATGCATAACGCATACGTATATGGACTAAACACTAAAATCTTTCAGTAATTTTTTCTTGATACATATAAAAAGAGTAGTCAATATTTATTCTGCATTCATGAATTTAAAAACTAATGCATACCTCCGGGATTCTTGACGAAATACCAGTATATTTGCACTGTGAAAGATGTTTCGTCAAACGCTAATGGTCTGCGACGCAAAAAAGGAAGGGGTGGGGGTGATAGGGGTATTCAAAAATTGCCTAAAAATCTACATTTAAATACGCTTTACATATGAGAACTTTTAAATTTGTAAGTTAATATATTTTTCAAGCAAAAGCAATATTCCAATTTAATTTTTTTAATGTGTATTTGTAGATTCATATAACAAAGTGATCGACCCCCGTCTAAAAGACGCGCGGGAACGTGATTTATTAAGAAGGGGGGAGGGGGTAATTTTCCGCTATTAAATCAAAACTGGTCGTACAAAAATTATACAAAAATTTATGAAGATCATTTTTACTACCAGCTACCTAAAGAACGTTTTTTACCAAAATTAAACGACAGGTTTTTTCACAAAAAAAATTTGAATTTGAAAAATACGCAATTTTCAAGGCTTAGAAAATTCATAGTTTTTCAGTTTAAGGTCTTTAAAAATTGTTTTGATGATATGTATATCAAAAAGATGACTATGTTTTTGTGTTAAATGGTTAAAGGAATAAGCCAATGAAATTTGACATTTATATCTAACCAGGTTTTTTTGAAAATCAAGGTTTAAGTAATTCATTGATTAAAAATTTTCTCTCATTGTAAACAACTAAAGGGTGGTAACTTTCGGAAGTTCCTGTCCAAAAACCACTCGAACGATTTTGTCCAAAATATGCATACATGCAGTAGATTTATTCATGTACTAAATATACAAAAATAACGAATATTAAATGACAGGAATTTTTTGGGGTAGGTGTGTTGTACATCCTTAAGGTTGCAAAGATATTGAGCTTGTCATGTTCAATATGAACCACCAATACTACTTATATCACTGACTCTGTATTAAGCTGAATTCATGTACTGTAAAAATTGAACCCACTAACACAATTGAACTTCAGATCCTCAACCTCCTTGAAGACCATAGATTGAATACCCCTGATGTGGAGATATTTGATTGTTTTTATTTACAGCACTCACCTTGTCTGTGTTCAGTTGGTTCATGGAGTAAGATTTCCTTCTCTCCTCAGCTGATTCTGCTAAAAATAAATAATACATTTACAAACTTCATGAATTAATCAAAAAGTGTTATAAAATAATCCAGTACAGTAAAAAGTAAAGCTAACTGCTTGTCTCACAGGCACCAAACTTAATTGAATTTTGACCCTCTAGTATACAGAATATACACTAAGGGGTCAAAAGTTCAAGCGAGTTTGGTGCCTGTGTTTTTTCCTACAAGAAAATAAAAATCCCTTCCATACAATGTTTACAGGAAAAAGATCACAACTGGCAGGAATTAGCAAAATGTTTCTTACTATTAACATTTTCACAAGCATGGAAATATATATATACACAGAGATGAAATAGACTGAATAACTTACCCTGACGTTGATGAAATTTGGCAGACAGGTTTTCGTTCTGTTTCACAAGTCCATCTCTATCATGTCTCATATCTCGGAGCGAGTCCTTCAGAATATTGATTTCTTTCTGATATTCCAAGGAATTCTCCATGTGCATCACTAAAATTTATATTCCTTATGCATATGTCAATTGTGGTTAATTTCATGTACCCCGATTTTTAATCATAAATTTTAAATGGAACCAGACTTGAGTCTAGATAGATAGATATTTATTTGATATACACGTACTATATATGCCTTGTTACAATTCATTTCTGACAATGTAGAATATAAAAAGTTTGGCACTAAACAAAAGAATTAAAATAAAATATCGGAAATTGAAAGACATGAATATAATTCACATTACATTTGTACACCAAGGATAACCCATGAAAGCCAATGGCTTATTTCCAATGGGGTCCTTAACTTATACATTTAAATTGGATGTTAAATAAAATGAACAGAAAAATATAAATACTATTAAAAGCTAAGATGTGGGATCAAGTTGACAACACAGAGATCCTTAAAAATGAATTGTAGTATGTATATATATCTGATCATAAATCAATACTGATGAAAGATTTTTTGGCTGAATTTGACAATTTTCTTAAGGACGTTCGATCCTGAGATTTTGAGCGTAATTTGGTCAGGTCCTTTATTTATAAAATTCTGCATCATTTTTAAGTTCTAACATTAAATCTGAATTCTACAGTGCAAATTTAACTATATTCAATGAAAAAACAGCGATTAAATTCCATTCAAGTAGAATTAAGATAGGGACTATATTTTGAGGCGGAAGGTTTTTTTGTAGGCGAAAATGATCAGTTTTTCCTTTTTGAACTATAACAGTACTGTTAATTTTGGATTCCTATTTTTCCATCCTGGTTGCACAAAAAGCTGTTTTTGCAGTTAAATGTGTTATGCTGGTTCTGAAATATCTATTAAATTATTTCTTAGGAATTCTATCAACAAAGTGTGACAAATAAAGTAAATATCTTCTGAAAATCCGGGGAAAAATTGAGCCAATTTTAACGTAAAATTGACACTTTTTTAGTAATATCTGAAAATTTACATCATATACCCCCGCTTTTGATGTTCTTTTCTAAATATTCAAGATAAATTTGACCTATTTGCTTAAAATCAGAATAAGTTTAAGACTTTAAAATAATTTTCTTGCTTATTAAATTTTCAATGCCAGAAAAATCACTCTATATTAGTGCAGAAAGGTCAAATAATTGATTATGCGAAGCAATTTAAAACTTTTTCTTAGTCACAATTTTTAAGTGTCTTTTTTTAAACATACTTAGAGTTCATTTTGTTTCATGCTTTAATTGGATAAAAATATTGGAGGGAAAATGTCAAAAATATAATTTTTAATTAAGACACAAATTTCAGTGCAAAAAGGTCATAATAAATGTACTGAAGCGCCATAAGAAGCATTCTGACCCCCATTTTTTGATTTGAATTTTAATTACAGTGGCTGCAACGTTATTGTTGACAAACCAATTGTGTAGAATCGTTCGTGTATCGTGCGTGATCGTTCGTGTAACGTGCGAGATTGTGCGTGCATCAGACGCAATCGTTTGCGGTTTTAAACGTGCACGATCGTGCGTTCAGAAACGTGTAAATTTCGTTTTGTAATTTTTATCAGAATGTTATTTGTTAAACAAGCATTTCCCTTTTTTTATTATTCATTTAAATCCAAATAATTATAAAGTGAATGAAGCGCAATTTACATAATTGAATGCAGAATGAACTAATTATCACTCGTAAACAAGCAATATAGTAAGTCGTACAATATTATGTTCTCGTCAAATAGCGCGATCAATATTGTGATAAACCGTACTTAGATCTTTAATTTTTTTTTTCTCTGATTTTCATTCTTGTTTACTGCTAATTTTGGTCAAGATATTTTTAAAATTGATACATCAAAAATAAATATTTTTACAAATAAATAAACATTTCTTAAATGAATGCTTACATAAATATTTAGTCGACGAATATACATTCAAACGACATGATTTTCGGGGTTTGTTTTTCTGTGTTATCTCTGCAGCTTACTTTTAATTGATTTTTAAATTTCTGCAAATAAAAACATTTAAATAATTGGCATTTTAAGTTCATTTCATAGATTCACAAACATTGAATCAATGGAAATATACGGAAATAATTTGTAATTTAAGTTATTCGATGCTGCCATTTTTTTTCAATCGTACCCCCCCCCCCCTCTTTCTGCATATCATGTGATCCAATTTATTCAAATTATACAGTCCACATACATGTACGTCTTTTGACAGAACAAAAAAAATCTGTTTTCTTAGGTCGGAGAATTATCTAAATAATTACTTAGAATCTATAATATTAAGTCTTAAGTGTATTTAGTTACAGTAATATTCATTTCCGTTTTTTTTTTTTCAAAGTCTAGGAAGTAATATTGATAATTCTTTGAAATCTTAAATCAGTATTAAGCAGTACTTCGTATTGAAAATATTGATTCCTAAATATTTTGAACTATTTTGAGTGAAGAATCATGCGTTTGCGTTAGCAATCATGTAAGATTGTGTAAAGTATAGAATCGTGTGCGTGAAGGATCGTTCGTGTAACAGATTTAATCGTGCGTTAATCGTGCAGAATCGTTCGTGTAACGTGATCGTTCATGTAAGTTGTCAACAATAATGTTGCAGCCACTGTAAGCAATGTATGTAGAAACTAAAAATATACTTGGCAAAAAAAGTTTAAGACTTTAAATATCAGGATCGAACATCGTTAACATGCTGAATAGCTGAGCATGATATATTAATAGTACAGATTTGTTCAGACACATAAGAAGTCTCCTATAATCTTCAGTTTAGTGGTACTCACTAGCTTTGTCTCGAGCTAGGCTCATTTCTCTCATGTAGGTCCCAAGCTCTTGCTCAAGTTCAGTTTTCTCGTTTTGCATACTCTTCAGTTTCTCTTGTAATTCCTGGTTTTCTCTCTGAAATTTGTAATAGCAGATTCATGCTCTAAATTTCTCATATTTCAAATGAAAATTCATTCAACTGTTTTTCAAACATTGAACAATTTCAAGAAAAACAAGTAACAAATGTATAAAAATTACACTATTAACTCTTCTTAAATTAATTGTACTCATAAATAAATATTTTATATTAATTTTTTTTAAGTCTGTAAATTCATAAAATTTTGGGGTATTAAATTTTCTTAGTTTTTGCAGGATGAAAAGACCCATGTCTTATCTCCAGTTCTAAGTTGTTGTTCAGGACAACTGCTGTGTTATTCTAGTTTTGTTGTCTTACCTCCAGTTCTAAGTTGTTGTCCTGGACAACTGTTTTGTTTTATTTTTGTTGTCTTACCTCCAGCTCTAAGTTGTTGTCCTGGACAACTGTTTTGTTTTATTTTTGTTGTCTTACCTCCAGCTCTAAGTTGTTGTCCTGGACAACTGTTGTGTTATTCTAGTTTTGTTGTCTTACCTCCAGCTCTAAGTTGTTGTCCTGCACGAGTTTCATCACTTCCTTCATTTCCTGTATTCGCTGATGTAGGTCTTTGTTGTGTTCGTAATCTATCTTTAATGACTCGGCCAGCTCCGGTAATTTATACAGCCATCCTGCGTACACACTCTCTCTGTGTTTCAAGTAATCTAGAATAACAATAGCTGGTTTAATTCATATAATCAACTTTTAATTATACTTTCATCTAAGGTTTATGGTGATAGATGTGTATAAATTAAAAGGTTTGTTTGCTGAAGATTTGCATGAAACTTAAAGTTTCGCTATTTATACTTTATATAGCCTACCTATTAGGGATGTCAATTTTATTCGGACAGCTTAGTCGAATAGTCAGATGTTTTAGTAAAACGATAGTCGAATAATCGTTTAATTTAAATTAATTTCTCATGTCATTTTCACTGTTTGTCTTTTCACAGACTAGTTTACAGTATTTAACCTATGCTATCACTATTATACAACAGATTTCTGAATTGTAAACATTTACGTAGTACAATAAAAACTGCACATCAATATGTATCAAATGTATTCAATTTCAAAATTAATACATTAGCTGTACATTTTATCTAAATGCAGGATATCAAACACTCGCATTTGTCATTTTTTACATAACGGTAGTACATGTACCCCATACTTGAAACCATTTCTACGTGTCTGTCAATGGTCTTTGACTGGTAAAGCGTGTCTCTTATAAAAACAAAGTGAGAGCGAGAGCTCGTGATAAATTTTAATTATGAAATTTAGTGCAAACAATCAATGATTGTATGAAATTAATATCAGAAAAAGAAAACACGGTTTAATTACGCTCATAATTGACCCAAATTTACATGTATTTACAATTTTGTAATAACTGTTTAATTAATATTCTTTCTGAATACTTGTATCAGGTAAGATCTTAGTTTGACTCTACAAAAGTAAACAATTGCCCTCTCCATTTAAAACAGTAAGAGGTAAACAATTATTAATACTGGTAATCATGTTTGATTTTCTTTCCCACTTTGCTTTTATGGCATTTTTGCGAAGACCTACATGTAACTTTAGGAAAATTTCACTTGAAGACTGTGTATATGTTTAATTTTACATACGAAAATATTGATCTGTGAATAAATGAAATGGGCAAATCTAAGTTTATTGCCTTGAATTTAAGATTACTTTGATGAAACACATTTTTAACGAATAACCGACTAAAGAAATTTTAATCGATAGTCGGTATGATCGAACGATAGTCGAGTACTCGAATATTCGTTGACATCCCTACTATCTATACTTGAATTAATCTTTAAATGTACATGGTCAATGAGATAAAGATTTCTTAAACTTTACAGTAATTTTTAATCAGCTGAATCACTGCACATGTACTTCTTCCATGCGGACATTATTCTGCTTGTGGAATCAAAATTTCTGTTCAATCGGAGGGGAAAAAGTTAAACAGATTCTTGGACTGTCTTTAAATGTTCTTCATGTTTTAAGTATACTCTGACAAATTTCTGCAGAAAAAAATGGAAATTAAATAAATTGTGATAGTGAACATGAATTTATCCCACATGGAAAAATTACATCAGTCTACAGCAATTATGATGAGTGGTTTCTGAAAAAAAAATAATATGTTGTTTCTGAAGACCTACTTTCTAAAAGTGGTCCAATATATTATTTACCTGTGGGTGGCTCCTGACATTATTTACCTGTGGTGGCCCCTGACATCATTTACCTGTGGGTGGTCCTTGACATTATTTACCTGTGGTGGCCCCTGACATCATTTACCTGTGGGTGGTCCTTGACATTATTTACCTGTGGTGGCCCCTGACATCATTAATTTTACCTGTGGGTGGCTCCTGACATTATTTACCTGTGGGTGGCTCCTGACATTATTTACCTGTGGGTAGTCCCTGACATTATTTACCTGTGGTGGTCCCTGACATTATTTACCTGTGGGTGGCTCCTGACATTATTTACCTGTGGGTAGCTCCTGACATTATTTACCTGTGGGTGGCTCCTGACATTATTTACCTGTGGGTGGTCCCTGACATTATTTACCTGTGGTGGTCCCTGACATCATTTACCTGTGGGTGGCTCCTGACATTATTTACCTGTGGGTAGCTCCTGACATTATTTACCTGTGGGTGGCTCCTGACATTATTTACCTGTGGGTGGTCCCTGACATTATTTACCTGTGGTGGTCCCTGACATCATTTACCTGTGCGTGGCTCCTGACATTATTTACCTGTGGGTGGTCCTTGACATTATTTACCTAGGGTGGCTCCTGACATTATTTACCTGTGCGTGGACCCTGACATTATTTACCTGTGGTGGCTTCTGACATTATTTACCTGTGGGTGGTCCCTGACATTATTTACCTGTGGTGGCCCCTGACATTATTTACCTGTGGATGGCTCCTGACATTGTTTACCTGTGGATGGTCCTTGACATTATTTACCTGTGGATGGTCCTTGACATTGTTTACCTGTGGATGGTCCCTGACATTATTTACCTGTGTTTGGCTCCTGACATTATTTACCTGTGGTGGTCCCTGACATTATTTACCTGTGGGTGGCTCCTGACATTATTTACCAGTGGGTGGCCCTTGACATTATTTACCTATGGGTGGCTCCTGACATTATTTACCTGTGGGTGGGTCCCGGGCCTCTTTATTGGTGACATCTTTGTAAACATGAGGATATTCAAATTCTAAAATCTCCAAAAACTTCTTGACACCATTATCTCCTTTTGTTTGCAGAATATCAAGGAAACTTCCTAAAATTAAAGAAATTAATTAAACATGTTCCTCTTCTTCATACAGTCATCTAAATAAGATGTATCTGAAAAAACCCAATTCTATCAAAAATAAAATGTTTTGATGAACATCACATTTGATAAAATATAGAAATGGCAAGATTACTCATATATGCAACACAACAATAAAATTAAATGCATTTCATACATATTAGAGGTTAACACTCTTAGCCTACCGGCCTGTTGTCGTCGCGTCGTCTTGCTCTCGATCTCCTGTGTATCGTCCATCGTAAGAACCTTAAACTGTCGGAGTTTGTCGAAGAAGACGCGGGCGTTGATGTAATTGACGATGTTATAACGCTTCCTTTCTATCAGTTCCTCAAAGATGTCCCTCTCCTCATCAGACACGTCTCCCATCTACAACAGAAAAAATTAAATGTTGGGAATATTCCGCAAAAATACAGTTTGGTTAATGGTTACATTTGTGGACAATAACTTCATCCTACACTACATGTACAATAACTAGTAAAATTTTTTGTTTATTATTATGGTCAGGATCACAAAAACAATTTTTAAAAATGCACATAATTTAAATAGCAGTAAGATATTTTGAAACACATGTATACTCAAACTCCTTGTATCATGGAAATTATAGATAACCGATGCAAGTCAAGTTTCAGGTGATGCTATATTATGAACAGTTCAACTTGTGAATCACTTAGTTTCTAGGAAGTTTATTTAAATCCACCAACCAGGTGACAATGATGAGAGCTATTCTGACTTTACCTTGAAATTCTAGTCAATAATACTGATGTTTTCCTTAATTTTTTGTTCCACTGAATAAATACAGGAATTAAACACTTCCTTTTACTTGGCTCAAATAACACTGACACTCCTAAATTCTCTAAATGTTCAAATATAATGTATTTGAAGAGGAAAAGGGAAAAAATGCATTTAAAATTCTGCGACTCAGCATTTAATTAATCTGTGTTTGACTGTTCATTATATCCAAATAATTAAGTTAACTACCAATCAGGATGCAGAGCTTTCAATAAGGGGTAATGGGAGGAGATGTTCCAACATTTCAGTGATCAGAACTTGGTGCTTCAGATTTCATTCATTCGTTAAATTAATAAAATAATTCTAAAGCAGTCTTTTTAAATGAATATGCACTCTTCAATTATACATCTCTTAATTTTTTTAACATTTTCTAAAAACAACCAATGACTCTTAAAGAAAAATGAATTACAGTTCTGTAATAAATTTTGATTTTTTTTTGTCCTCCTGAAGCATGTGATGTACATACCTTTCTTTTTTTAATTTCCAATCCAAATCAATTTCAATCAGGTTGATGAAAATATTTTCTGATCATCGTGGCTAAACCATACTGAAACAAAACCATACATTTTTTGATGCACAAACCTAATCTCCAACAATAAATTATTTAATAAAAAATAAACTGGCTATTGGTAACCAAATAAATTGTCCTTTGAGATGCTTGATAGATCATTCATAGATTTCAGTTTGTGAAGGGCAGTAATTCTTGCAGACTTAAAGTACTAATCTTAAGTTCTCCCATTATTTACCTTAAGAACTTACGGTATAAAATTACATGACTTTTTATCAATTCTTGGAAGGAATGTACATTTATTTGACAAGTAAGATTCCCTAATATTATGTATCTGAATTTAAACTGACAAAAAGATGTCACTACATTTTCTCATTAACTCATATAAGCATGAATATGATTATCCCTACCATATGTCATAGTACTGTATTATACCATTCTATAGAGCAAATTGTTTTGACATCAAAACTATCGTCCAAACTGTTACATTTCAAAATGACAGTTGAACATGTTATTAATGGCATAATTTGCAGTAACTCACCAGATAAATTATACATCTGTATTTGATGCGCTGGGATTTGCTATACATGTATATTGAAACTACATACTGAACCTGGTCAAACTGTGTTGAGGGTTTATCCTGAGACACAGATTATTCTAACTAATATACTGTAAATGTACTATATTTGATGTGTACTATATTTGACGGAAAATCATTTTCAACAGTTTAGTGTAGCTGAACTAGCAATGTCTGAATATGCTTGATATAAATGTATGATATGCAAGAAATATAGTGATGTACTTGATTAAATGGACTCTGCTTTCTACCAGAATCGCTAAATAGAAAACACCATAAAATGTAATAGATTTACAGTAATAAATGTATATACAAACATCACTGCAGATCATTTATAAATATAGTACATACACAATCATATTGTTTATTGTTAGAAGTGTAAACATTATAACAGTGCTTTGTTTCATCAGAGTCCTGCTTAGGTCACTGATAGTTCAATGAAGTCTCTCTAGCTTTTTTTATGATACTACATGTATTACAATATGGAGACTGCAAGTTCTTGATAATTTATGTACCAGGAAAAAGTCAGAACTGGCTCTATTACAAAAACTGGATATTTTGCCGTCTCCAACCGGATTTGATTTTTGATACTTGCAAACCGAACAAAATGCCGAAATCAGTATTTTATTATAAGCACAATGCTTTTAGTCCTCAGAAAATATTCATTTCGTTCCAGGACTTGCAAGATTTTAAAATGCACGAAATGAAGAAAAAACTCAACAGTTTGATAAATGTTTTCATTGGATTGTATATTTTATAAATGAAACTTTAAAATTATATTGGTAAGTACTACAAGTATTGTACTATTGATAACTTCTGAGTTTGACATTTAATTTGGTTTGCAAGTATGTAAAATCAACCTGGGAATGCCGCATCTGGTTGGAGGTGGCGAATTTCTAGTTTTCCAAATGGCACCAGTTCTGACATTTTCCTGGCACATAAAACATCAAAATTATAAAAAAAAAAAAAAAAAAAAAAAGGCCTGGAAAACATCAGATATAGACAAATTTCACATTCCTAGGAGTTATCTCCTGTTGTCGGCGTAACGCTCATTTCTCCCACTTTGCCCTTTGTAATTTACTTGTTTATATTTTTAATCTTCAAGCGTTATTGGACAATTTTGATCTGTACCTGTATTACCAGGGTATGGGGCAACATAAAAAACATAATGTATATATTCATACAGATTTTCTAAGATATTGACCCATTAAGTTGGTAAGGTTATAGAGGGAAAACAGTGCCTTACACCAGTTGACCCCGGATTGACCCCACAAAGGGGAATAACTTTTGTAAATGTGAAAGTCGTCTATTTTGTACCACTTTTCAGGTCTTTTCAACAGGAGTGCAAAATAACTTATTTCCTGAGCTCATCTGAAAGATCCAAGAAGGTGGGATTGACTGTCTGGTCGCACATGTGTAGACCTAGGCTATTTGATCTTGCAAGCACGTGTGTATTCTGTTGGCTAATGACGCAAGACTGATGACAGTGTTTGGTAGGGATTGAATAACTATTTCATAGCAATTGTGCAGTTTTTCCCTTAGAGATCAGCTGAGCACACTAATATTATTTAAGTAACTTCGAATACTTTGGAAATACCCGGGTAACCCTTATTTATTCTTGTAATATCACTACAGTACAGGCACAGAAGTGTGCTGGATTTTTCGAAGGAAGAAAACATTTAAATTAATGAATTAAAATGTTTAAAATGAAAGATTTAATTCTTGTAAAGTTACCTGACTATGGCATTTCATGATAACCGCTCAGGAACTGCTGCCATTGTTTCCTTCTTTCATGCTCACATTTCTTTCCCCAACAGCAGAAGAACCAAAACTTCCTGGTTGATGGTTTCCATGTTTAAGGATGTCGATCCCGATCAATATTGATTCTAAAAAAAATATGTGTGGAGTTCCGAAATCACACAGGATTGTTTAAAATATGAATTATATTAAATGTAAACCATAAAAAAAATAAAAGGTGAGTAAAATATAAGAAAGGAATCATCAATATTAATAAAAGAAAAACAAGAATAAAAGAAAAAAAATAATCAAACTCACAATCACAATTAAAAAATGTGGGAAAAAGAAGAAAATTATTCTCTCTTCCTCCCTTTCTCGTTCTGTCCGGAATGGGGGTCCTATTTTTGAGGATATCAATTTAACAATATGGAAATTATTTACATTTTGAACATATAGGCCTGGCAATCTGCGTGGGAGAAACAATTTAATCTATTTCATCACCAGTTAAAAGTATTTTTTTAAGTGAAAATTAAGTCCTCTCATTATTGGATATTTAACTACTTGTTCATGACTTTAAATGATGCAGAGATATAATTTTATTTATACCTCAGCTTGTGAACGTTGGACTTAGGTGCATTTTTGCTAATATTATAATTATAAACGATTTTTCCCCTCAAGGCAACAAAACTGGAAACACTTGACGCTAACGAGAAAATGGTGACTTTTAACTCGAGTGCTTTTAAGGAAATGCTTTTTGTGCAGGGTTATAACTGTTATCAAACGATTTAATAACTCTGTGTTGAAGTAAAGAATGTTTTACCTACGCACAACTGAATATCACTTACGATTATTCTAAAGGTTATCTTAAAACATTCCCAATAGTTCCAAAACCTGCGATTGTTAATTATGTTATATATTGTAAACCCCTTTAAAATGTATTTATCTGTTTACAGGAGGGAAGTAGGCACAACAATTTATTTTTATTCTTTTTCTCCCCCCACCAACCCCTTTCCCCATTTATTTTTGTTCTTTTGTTTTCATTTTTCCCTTGTCAATTTATTTTTGTTGTGAGATAGTCCCCCAACCCCCATCCCCATTTTGATATATCCGTTGATCTGAACCATTAATACTGTAATATAGAATATCCCAATAAATCAACAGAGAATTGTCCTGATCTGAATAAACATTGGACTTACTATAGTAACTTAAATATTGTAACGTGCAACGCGGCCGAGCTTGGTATTGGTGATATGGCTTGTATCACCAGGCGTTACACTCAGGTTCGTTAACTTGTTAACTCAGGTTTTTGTTGACCAAATAAAATTACAATCACAAATATATACAAATTCAATACAATAATACAATGGGTTTCTTCTTAATTGGACAACCACTAACTGTGGTCAACGGGTGTCTCCCGCAAATGAATTTCTTCTTGTCTTGCCACTTCTCAAGTACTGACTCCTGGCACTTCCCCCACTTCTCACTGTGGTATGCCACCTCTCTCTCGATCTATACTACCAAATGACTGCCTTATTCAGGTCTAACGCTTTTGGGTAGTCTACAACACTTAACTGTCTATCCCCCGCAACTGCCTGCCTTATTCAGGTCTTATGACCGTGTGTAAGAGGAGAAACAAGCTAAGGTTTCCTAACTCCGTCACCAGAGAGGTCTCAAAGGTCCTGCAATACTATTAGTATTATCCCAATGCAGTCTCAGTACAATGGCAGATTCATACTACTTGTATGATCGTAAAATTAATATTTTTTAGTGTTTAAGAATTTATATAAGTACGTAGGTAAAACGTTAAAACGAAACTAAATCACAAAACCAATTTCCGTTTCAATATATTCGTCAAAGAAGATGGGCGCATTTGGTGTGTGTGATCTGCAGGAACCATTTGTACGAAACATTTATGGTTTAAATGTCCATGATTTGGTTGGCTGAACATAGCTGGTCAGATTTTACAAACACGTCCATAGGTTTTTTTTCATTTAGTTTGAAAGTGTGAGATTGTAACATTTTTGTCCGTTTTTCCAGGAGGTACTACAACAAAGTAATGTTTCACAAAAAATAAACACCTAAAATATTTAATGCATATAAATGCATGATATATGCATGTACATCTACATTATACAGAATAGAAGATTAGAATTGATTTCGCTTGAGAACCAAACTGAACCAAAATTTATCTAATTCAAAATTTTAATACATCAGGAAATAAAACGAAACTAACAAAATAAATGGTTGTTTGCATGAAAAAAAAATAACGCCCCATGCCTGGATCGAACCAAAAACTTCTCAATTCCTTTGCACTGAACAGGTAGCCACCTTACTGAGCTATCACCGCTTCACATACAGTGATTATTTTAAAAGGACAAAGAAGCACCACATTCACACCCTTGGACTTTTTTTGTGAAAAGTTCGTTTTTCGTGGTCTCTGGGTCTTCTCTCCATTTTTTAAAAAAGTGTATTCGTTTCTTTGAATTAAAATACACACAAATAACGTTTCAAAATCATGGAGAGAAAACCCAGAGATATAACTTTTTTTTGAAAAACGTGTTTAAAAATGTACCATTTTGTACCAAATGTCTGATCTGGCCAATTTTCAAGTTATTTTTTTAGCAAATCAATGCTCTATTTCGGGAAAATATTTTCCGTTCCTGTTGCACAGGAACCCGAAAAAATTTAAAATTTCATGTGACATGTCGATAAAATTTTCACTTTAATTGCAATTACGCCCAGATTCCTGCCGAATGCCAATCAAAAGCGCCCTCGTTCTTTAAATATCTTTTTTCGATTCGATCTCTGTTTAGGTTAAATAAAAAAATATCGACGAAAATTGCTCAATAATCAGGAAAATTAACATATTTTTTAAAAAAAACTAGATATAGTCTGCTTCGGTACACGTATTACATTGTTGATAACAAAGCTAGAGTCCGAGTGGGGATAATCGTTTTTCCTGTTATAAAAATAAAAATCCTTTCGAAACATTTGTTTTCGCAAAGAGAGAGAGAATTTTATCAATAGAAGATATATATAATCCCCGTTGGTTTTACAACTATAAAAAGTTTTCAGGGTTTGAGATGGAGATTAACACAAGGAGAATGAGTGCTGAGGACTTATTTCAGGGCTTCGTCAAAAAAGAAATCAAGGGCTTTATGTGAAGAGACTAGAGAATAAGAGATTTCAGATATACTATACTCTCTTGAAAATATACATTAAAGTTTGTTTTACGTTTCGATTGATATGTAAACTCCTTGATTTCACATAGACTTGCTAAATAAAGCATAAAGGCAATCGGAAAAAAAATGTATCTTACCGGCGTGACAAAGAATTAAGATGGGGGGGGGGGGGGGGGGGGGGGGATAAGGCGGGTGAAGGGCCTATGGATCGACAGATAAGAAGTGAAAAATTAAATCTCAATTATATTCAAATTTTATTTGATATTTCATCTAATACTAAAGTATACTAAATGTAAAATCTCTACAATTTACAAAAATCCCACAAAAAACTGATAATATATGCCTATGGAAAAGCACACACACACTTAAAAGAACAAAACGATCATTTCTCATACTTTAACAACTTTTTTTTTTAATATAAGTGGGTCTTCCCTCCATTTCTTTGAAAGATAATCCTAAAAGTTTGCAATAAAATATACATTTTTTGGTTTACAAAAACATGGAAGAAACATTTTTTACAAGATTTTTTTTTCTCTCAGAAAAGTTTTTTAACTTATAATTTCATAAATTTTCATAATGAGAAGTTGATTTAATTCTGCCCGCCTTGTCCCCCATCTTCTTTTTGATAAAGATCGAAAATTAAAACATGGAAAAGAAAAAGAAAATTCCAATCACGAAAACCCTATATTTGAGGTGGTTTGATGGGAGTTTATGGGTTCCAAATACGGCATGAAAAAATTTTGTAGTTGGAGACTTTGACGATATTGCGACAAAAAGTGTGGACGACAAAAACTGCATGGCTTTAAACAAAGATGTCAATAGTTAATTATATAAACAATATGAATGATGTAAAGTACTTGTCATGTTTCTCTCAATGTAAATGGTCTATGATGGATGGAGGGGGGGGGGGTGCTAGATAGAATTTTGTCAATTAATAGTACAGTACAGTGAAGAAGCGTAGTTTTTGGAAGTGGGAGGGGCAGACAGAAGGAAAGTCTTGCTCGAATAGAACACTTGACCGACAAAAAAGGAAACTTGACAAGACTATAAACCCCTATTTTATGGGAGGAGGGGGGGCATTTAGGATCAAACTTCTTTCATTAGGAGGGGGACCGGACTTTCAATGAACATTTTCTATAGTTAAAAGTTTTGTCTGAAAAAAAAGTGGGGGCCCCTTGATACTACGACTTGTCCCCCAAAGAAAGAAGAAAGAAAGAAAGAAAGAAAAGAAAGAAACAAAGAAAGAAAGAAAAGGTAGGATCACGAGAATAATCGAAAAACCTGTGTATGAATACAGTGTGTCGGACTGAATACTAGTACATGTATACCGAAATCTATGTTTAAGTATCATAATTATACAACATTTTTTAAGTTTCAGATTACCAATCTTCTGTTCTTTCAAAAATGTTCATCTGCTTGTTAGATATGATCCTCTTCATTTTACGTTTGTTGAGTATAACCTTATCTCGCCCTTCTTCCTCGTCTGGATAGGCTTAAGATATAGAGGCATATTGTGAATCCTTTCTAGGATTAAGCCACAACAGAGTTAGTAAAAAAAATATCTTTATCCAATGAACCATATAGCATGAAGGGGATCACATCTCTTGAGGGGTTATGGGAGCAATGTTGTTTCAATCATATAACTTATAAAACATCATCAAGTAGGATTGGCCTAGCTCCGTATTTCTGAAATGGCGGTGGTCTTCTGGTGGTGACAAAAATTAAACATTACTTCAAAGGGATAACAATTACCAAATTCACTTCTAGTTTTTAATTGATTGACCGATTGTTGGTGTACTATTAATTACAAGATGATTTATTAGTAACAATAAATCTTCAATCGATCACTCTCTCTCTCTCTCTCTCTCTCTCTCTCTCTCTCTCTCTCTCTCTCTCTCTCTCTCTCTCTCTCTCTCTCTCTCGATATCGATCCCTCTCCAATATAAATGTGAAAGTTTGTTTTGAACATATTTTATTGAACGTTTCGTTAAGAGGATTGCAACAAGCTTTTCAACTTACTACTTTTTCTGCATAAATATTACAATAAGTCATATTCAAAATTTAATTAAATGAAATAAGAATTTACACATAATACAAGTAAAACCATGTTGCATTTTATATATCAAGTTTCATCGATAAATTTATTAAAATATATTTTGTAACATGTAAAGACGAACAAAGATTATTTTGACAATTTCTACAAGCAAAAAAGAAAAATAAATAAGGTCTAAATAAATAAATAACATTCATTTAAAAAGAAGGCAATACTTCTTTAATATATATAGGTAATCGTTAATAGCTGTGTCTAATGAAAGTTCGGTCGTTTAACTGTGATTTCTTTCAATACGTCTTATGGATATGGATTCTTTTGAAATTATGATAAAAAAATCCCTCTTTTATATTCAATTTCTTTATTGATTCACCAAACATGTCGGCATACAACCATGTTACATATAAAAGACAAATAATAAAATACATACAATACATACATGCAAGTGTATGGATCAGTGAAGTCAACTATGAAGTGTATTACAACTTGAAGATTAAACATAATCAATATGTAAGCAGTATAGTATTGACAGTGATGAGCTAATAAATGCATTAAATACACTGTATATATATATGATATAATTGCGCTTTATTTTTGGAACGCAGTTCAAAACATTCAAATAAAAATTCACATAGCCTTCTAGAATGAACTGCATTGTCAGGGTTACAAAATACTTTACAATGATTTTCTTTCAGTATGTTATCGTTTAAATTACAGATGTTCAAAGGACAGTACTTTTTTCGTAAATCTATATAGAATAGAATAGGATAGAATTTATTTCCAATCATGGTCCCACTGGGGGCATAACAAAGATACAAGTATATTATCACATAAAATAGAGGCAATGTACAAAATAAAAGATTAAACCAATTTACCCATGGTGGTATGCAAATATTGTAAATATAATATAGTAATATTCAAAAATCATATACAATATTTTGATATGAATTGACTTAATAATCTTAAAATTTACTCATTTTCATTTGTAAAAAAGCCATATTAACTTTTCATTATGAACATAATAAAAAGAATAAACCAATATTAACTTGGTGGTGTGCAAATATTGTAAATATATTAAAAGATAAAGGTCTATTAATGGTTGCCAGTCTACAAGAGACATCAATTAAGGGACGGTGCTTCAGGAATTGCATGAATTCTAGTAAAATATCTAAAATGAATAAAAGGTTGCATTCCTCCTCATGTCTAATGTTGATAGGCAAAAAGAGCACAATTATAAATTACAAAAAGTAACAATGTAGTAATGTTCAAAAATCATATACAATTTGATATTAATTGACTTAGTAATCTTAAGATTGTCTCATTTTCATTTGTAAAAAGCCATATTAGCTTCTCATTAAAATCAAGATTACGGAAATTGGTACATATGTCTGAGATACATTTTAAGAAAGTTTCTCGTTCATCTTTGAATTTAGTGCATTTAAAGAGAAAATGTATTTCATCCTCCACCTCATTTAAATCACATTTTGAACATAATCGCATGTGTGCTGGGATACCCTAAAACCTTCCAACTTCAATCTGTAAATGGTGTGAAGATATTCTAAGTCTACTCAGATATCTCCTCAACTCAAAATTTTTGATGATATCAAGATAATTTTCAAAACCAAATTGATCTTTAATTTTAACATAAGTACGTAGTTTACCATCCCTACTGCCCAAATTGTCATGTCATAAATTTATGTAAGTTTTCTTCAGGATTGTATGTATTGTATGTTTACAAACTTTTTTCAAGTTATTCAAACATCCCTTAAGATCTGTGATCTGTACCAAGAGGATCTACTATTATCAGCATGTAATTTCTTAGAATGTATAATCATATGCATTTCTGAGTAAAGGAAATTCTCTATTATTTTCTTCCAATCTTTCAAGTCTTTGCCAATATATAAGGGGCAGTCATGTATGAAATGTATTTCACTTTCTACAACAGTTTTTCAATAGTGACAAAAGCGAGATTCTTTTGGGATACAAGGCTTTGAATATCTGCCTACTTCAGTTTCTAAAGGATGTGCAGAAATTCTCAGTTTTGTTAATTTAGAACATACAGTTTTATTTATTGGATATTTCAAGTAGTCTTGAAATCATAACTCTTTCTAATTTGACTGAAAAATAATAATTTACCACATTTGGAGAATTCAATGTTCTGCAGTTGCAAATTAACATTTTTTATGTAAAAATTCTTCAAGCAGCTGCTAAATCCCTCTTTTAACATGTTTAATAAATTTTCAACAGCGTTTTAAGTAATGCATTTAACAAACTACTTTACCTTAGCCTCATATGTAAAAATTCACTTGTGTAAAAACCTTAGTCTGAGAGATAATGCTTCGAGTAAAAGGTGTGTACTACTCACGACTCATCTTATTGGCTGAAATTGGTCATAACTCATGAATAATGCATATCACGTGACCAGTTAGAACAAAACAAAACCATGTGGCCAGCCTTCCTCCATGACATTGTACTGAGTTTCGTTTTAGAGCGGCGGCTGTAACCTGAAAATGGATCAGAAATTATCAAAGACGGAGACACTTCATTTGAGAAAGAAGCATATAAGGTAAGGAATATACAATATATTTGTCTCAGCAACCAAGCTTCGTAACATTCGAAACGGCCACACAAGTGACCTACACCAATATCAACATCTGCAGCCGCCATGTCTAATGCGTCGATAGGACCGTTATTTTGTTGAATTGTTATGAATATTTATCTTCGTTTAAATTTTTGTTCTGGTTTTCATCCAAAATATTTAGTAAGGAATTAACCGTGCGTTTGTGTACTTTATAAGATCCTAACAACAATGAACACATCGGATCTACATTATAGTACATGAATAGATCTAGCATTGGAGTGTTATATTTACTGCAATATGTAGGCAAGTCGGGGACGTGAGAGAGATAACAGTTAAACGTATTTACATTTAATAGCTTCATTAAGTACTGATTTTAATAATCCTATCCTAAAACAACTTGTATATGCATATAGAGTCATTGATTTTAAACACGTGTGATTCACTGATCAAAGATCTTATGAGTTTATATTCTAAGCCAAGCATGTACCTGGCTTCCAGTATAATACCCTTTAACCTGTTTAAAGATATTGAGTAAATATAATCTGGCAGTGTGTGCATTCTCAGACAGCTAGGTTTGTCATTGGTGCAGTTTGTTGTTTGCTGTGCCACTCTTAAAACTTTTTTTTTCTCTTTGAATAATTAATTAAATAAAAAAAACATTAAAAAGGGGCTAGCACTGCACATTAACCTTGCAAAGCTGTGGTTATCTATTGTTGATTTAGAACAATTTTATCTGGCCTTGAGTCTCCAGCACATGGAATATATTAATGAAAACCTGTTGACTCTGGTTTTATTCATGAACTTGACGGTTTATAACAAAGACAAAATTTATATTTATGACATATAACGTTATCTGACCAAGGTGTCGTATAGATGACAGGTGATGTAATATGCACTGCATTATAATAATGCATTACATGGTAAAAGTGTGCTGTTTTCAAAATAATTTAAACCTTATAGTAGCATGTTTTAAAATTTTCTGAAAGACCAAATGCTCCTCATAATAACGGTATGTAAATTGGCCATAAACTTTTATCACTCAGTGCATCTCTAGATTTTGGTATCAAATTGAAAAAAAAATCTGTCATTTTCATGGTGCAAGCATGCACTTTAAAAATTACAAATTAAAAATAAAGAATAAAAAAAAGACAAGAAGTGGTGATTTTGAAATTAAAAATCATCTAGATAATTAAAAAAGAATATGTCTTTGGCATTTAATCTATAAGGAATTGCACTTTAAAATTAATTTGAGAATGGATCAGGTACAGTGTACTTGTTAGTAATCGTTAACAATCATTCAGGGTACACTTTAGTTTAGGAAAAAATCTGACAGCAGGGTACATTTTGGTATCAACAGTTAGGGTACATTTCCTCTTAATATATTCAATAATATGGTATAAATTTGAGATTTATATTCAATTAGGATACTGGTATATGTAGGAACTGACAACTTGGTATTGTTTTGATAATTGTCCAATACAAGATTTATATCATTGATTTCAGTGAAGCATGTCAGCTGTTTTTTAAAGAGGACCCTTTGAAGATTGTGAGGGCCACAGGACAGTACATGATAGATGAAGACGGAAATTCTTATCTTGACTGTATCAACAATGTGTGTCATGGTAGGTACACCCACCAAGCTCATCAGGAGAGCTCAAACCACCAAGCTCATTTAGAGAATTCATCCCACCAAGCTCATCTAGAGAGCTCATCTAACCATGCTCATCTAGAGAGCTCATCCCACCAATTTAAGATCACCTAGAGAGCTCAAACCACCACAATTTAAGCTCATCTAGAGCAATCTCCCCACCAAGCTCATCTAACCAAGCTCATCTAGAGAATTCACTCCACCAAGCTCATTTAGAGAGTTCATCCAGAACCCAAAGAAGCTCATCTAGAGAGCTCACCCCACCAAGCTCATCTAAAGAGCTCATCCCACTAAGCTCATCTAAAAAGCTCAGCTATAGAGCACACCCCACTTATTTCCTCCAAGTAAGTAGTTATAGAAATATACTACTTAGATAATCTAGGCATTCACTATAAGTAGGTAACTTATGAGCAGGTCTTCACTGTATCTTACTGATAGTAAACAAATTTACCACAATGATAAACAGATAAACTCTATAGGATACAAATCCATTGAACAGGTCAGCCAAGAGATATTATTCAGTTTTAACCGGTACAAATGAGAGGGCAGTGTGCATGAAGATTTCTAAAGTCACTGTCCCCAGAAATACAGCGATAATACAGCTTATCAGAACTAAAGTCCTGACTTAATATCAGGATTTTTAAGATAATAGCAGGATGTGTTTTTGAGAATTTGATAAATAGCCCAACCCCCAGTACCTGACCCGACCTTATCTTGTCTATTGTCTGAATTGTATTTGTAGTTATTTTAAGAATTGTGAGCTAATTAATTATTAAAACTCTTTCTTGGAATTAACAATTAATGGAGGTTCAAATGAATTTGAAAATAATTAAGGAACAATGAATTAACCATTAAATAATTTAAAGTCATTTGTAAAGATTAACATTATTATTAAGAGTGAATTTTTTCTTCAATTTAAGCAAATGCCCCATTTGAAGTCATAATTGACTTTTTGCAATCTAAATGTTTCAAATTAATAGACTCGTTAATTTATAGTCGGCCATTGTCATCCCTACGTGGCGGAGGAAGCCTGTAAACAAATCAGAACTCTCAACACAAACAGTCGCTATCTCCACGACAACCTGGTGCTCCTGGCCAAGAAGATCACAGCCACCCTCCCCGAGAAACTCTCCGTCGTCTATTTGGTGAATTCTGGGTAAATACATATCAATTGAAACTGAAATTGTATTTGTATTTGGAAACTTTCCTGTTGCTTGGGAGGTATGCCACCACAGGTCCTATAGCTTACTATTTGGAAGAGAAATTCTGTCAGAGGAAAGTATGACTTGCTGCATTTTGCAAAGGTTATAACCCAATTTGGTGACCATGTCATGTTGCCGAATCTAGTAACTTATCAATATCATTTACAATGTTTTGAATTGGCATTAAATTGCAAGTATTGGCATACTATGGGAAATGATTTATTCATAATTTCGATTTGGTACAACTTTCATTTTTGCAATGGTTGCAGGAACTCTTGGTCTGGAAATACATGTAATCCAGTTCTATCTTAGACACTTTATGTTTAAAATCTAGACAAATAATGAAGCATTTAATATGTATTATCTATTTATTATTACGACCCAAATTACTAGTATTGTGAGTACAGTTCAGATTTATATTTTTTTTATTATTAGGTCTGAGGCCAATGACTTGGCCATGCGTCTGGCTCGACATTACACCAGGGGGACCGAGATGATCACGCTAGACCAGTAAGTATCTACAGTCAAACCTGATTATCACAAGTACCAAAAGTCATTACAGTAAAAACTAATTATATAGAACAATAGGTAGACATTACACCAGGGGTACAGAGATGATCCCGCTAGACCAGTAAGTCTCTACAGTAAAACTTGATTATCACAAGTACCAAAAGTCATTACAGGAAAACAATTGTCTCATGTCTGATAAAAATTAATACAGCTAGCGAAACCTTATTTTCACAAGTTATAAAAAAAACATTAAAGTAAAACTCAGTTATCTTGAACCAAAAAGTCATCACTGTAAAGCCAGATTATCCTGAATATTGAAAAAAGTTACTACAGTAAAAACCAAAAATAATGACTGTAAAACCTAATTTTCATGAATCAAAAGAAAGTTATTACAGTAAAACCTAATTATAAGAACTGCAGATTTGACAATATCAGACTGATCAGTTTACCTTCAGTTTGTAATGAATAAGGTCTATAACATTCAAACTGTTCAAAAATATGGATAGACTATGCTTCATGCATAATGATTATCAATTCTTTTGTTGTTCAGGTATGGCATGTTATTTGAAAATTTTTACAAATTATTTAAATACATTTTGTGTGACATCCGTCCTGGATGGACTGACGTAATCAGTAAACTCTACACACCTGTCTACACCATATACTGTCCATAATGCTGTACTCTGGGTCTCTCAAATGTTTACTCAGTGGTGAGACTCAGTAATTGGAAACAAGAGTTCAAACTTTTGACTTGACAGACATAGACCCAGGATGGCTTTGTTTACCGTCACATGATGGGGATAGGGGAGGGGTCTGTGACATATGAAGTGTTGATTCAGGTTGTTTTATCAGAGACAGAAAAAGGACATTCACATCAGGGTCCATTCATTCTTGCTAATTTGTTCAAAGGGATCTTCTTTACTAGTGAAAATTGAAGGTCAATTTCCTTTCTTTGTTAAAATGAAGTACAAATAGATTTGTTATTTTTGAGAATCTTGCTAAAATGTAGTAATAATAAAATTGTTATTTTTGAGAATCATTTTAAGGTGTATAGAATAATTCTGCATTTAACATTTCAGTTCCTGGCTACTTTAAGTCAAAAGATTGACCTAAGCTGTTTATAAGTTATATCTTTGTTATACCATAATGGAAATTGGCACACATGTAACAAATTAAAATCCAGGACCATCAAAACATCAGAATGCATAATTACTAACCCTGCAAAAATTTTAATTTAGATTGTCTTGTATGTTGTACATGCATTACCGGGAATACTTTTTCTTTGCATATAAAGTCTGTTAGTAAAAACAGAACTCCTTATAAAGAAATGAAAACCTGCCATTAAATTCTGTCACTTTTGTCATACATGTACTAGTATATGTTTTTTTTTTTTTGGTGAATATGATGATTGGAGATTTGTTTTTATATACTGAGTACCTTAATATCATAAATAGGGAGAGGGCTAAAATAGGCTGTGCCTGCTGCCCAATCCTATTCACAATAATATCAGTGAATAAAATATTGTTTAAATTTAAATTAAATCATAAATAGGCACGGATCCAAGAATCTTTTAACAGGGGGGTCTACCCTAGAAAAAAAATCCAACCCAGGAATTTGTTTACAAGCATACCCCCCCCCCCCCCTCCACCTAAACATTAGGGGGGTTGTGGGTTGTTAATAGTTGACTTCTAATGTGCTTCATTAGTTCATACCTATGATATTTCATACCAACTTAACACAGATCTGCATTTTTGTAGGGGGTGGGGTGGGTGTTCAATGTCATTTTTTACTTAGTTTAATTTATGAATTTTAAATTAATAACTGCAAATTCCATAATAAAAATAAATAATTTCAAATTAAAAAAAAACTATCCCAGGTACACATGGTACATGTACATTAAAGTCAGAGGAAAATACACATTTGAATTATACAGTACTAGAACCCCCTTAGAGCTGATGTTTTTTTTTCTGACTGTCAGCTTTACCAAAGCTGAAAATCTTGTCCAGTTTGCAATGTTCCAGATTAACTGACAGCAAGAAACATGGCTGTACTTAACATTATATGTGTCAGTGATGTCACCAAATTCAATGCATTAAATTATGATGCCTAACCTACTTTGATATAAGTTTGCTAAATGAGTTTGAAGAGAATCAGTGTATTGTTTTTGACATAGATACAGGGACCTTTTAACCTCTCTAGACAAGCGTATTAATCCTGGAGAACAGTTACCTGTGGACCACTGATATAAATTGTCATTTATATTAGATCTATGTCAGAATTTTTATTCCATTTTAATGATGAATAATTATGTAGAGAACATTCAGTGTTTTGTAGTTGCATTACTAAGGACTTTGTTTTGCAAATAGAACAGAATTTTTCAAATGCAAAGCATTGAAAATGGGTCAAAACATGCGGAAATGATAAGTGGTGTTTACTAAAAAATGGAAATATAGGCTCAATATCAGGAAAGCTTATTTATAAATCAGATTATTTCTATAGTTTCTCAGTAGAGTACACAAAAATGTGTCCATATATTTTCATGAATTTTAAGGATTTTTTTCGTACATGTATCAGCTGGTACAATTACTGGATTCTATTTTTTTAAAAAGAAATTCTATTTATTTAATAAGTGTTACATGTAAATTACAGTTTAATTGAATTAGTTTTTACAATGTACTGGATTCTATTTTTTTTGATAATAATAGTCCGCTAAATTTTTTAGAAATTCTATTTATGTGTGTCCATAAGTGTTACATGTAAATTACAGTTTAATTGAATGATTTTTTAATACAATATGCATCAAGAAGATTTCAAGGTATAATTAATTATTAACATGTATCATTTAATTAGTATAAGTAGACATTTAAATGCAATCTCTGAGATGGATGTGACAGTCTGGGTCATGTGAATGTTTCAGTGCATACCATGGTCACCTGACCTCGGTGATGGACATCAGCCCGTACAAACTCCGCACAAACGTGGATGGATCTCACACCAAACCCGATCACGTACACATCGTAAGAATCTCAATTAAAAGTTTTTTGTTTTGTTTTTTTGTAAAAAGTAAAAGCATTACATAGGGTACGTCTTGTTTTCCTATTCTCAAAGACAATAAAGAAAGCATTGGAAAATTTCTTCTGATTTACTTTGACTGAAATTTTTCAGTTTTCAACAGATAAGGATACATATTGGCATTATGATTTAAAGTTGTTAAAACCAGAAAGTTATGATCATTTTGACATATAAGGCCAAAGTTTTTTTTCTCTTGGTTTACGATTCCGCCGACCCTATTTACAAAAATAAAAATAATGTGTCTGACTCTTGAAACTGAACTCTTAAAGCTTAATCCGAAATTTTCTCGACCAAACGACTGTTTTTTATAATTTACAACACATCTTCAACATTCGAATGACCTCCACAAATACAGATTGTCAAACCACATGAAAAAGTCCATCGTTACAAGTTATACACAACAAGATGCAAAACAGCTGGACAGCTATCGATGTCATGCCAAAGATGTTGGAGAAGATTTTAGATCTTTTTATTGTCAAATAATTAATTCATGCTGTGAATACAGACATATTATTACTGTCAAATTGTGAAGTTTTTAACTTCCTAAGAAGTCACACATCAGATCCGATAAAAATAAGTAGTTCAATCAGCATACAGATGTGCGTCAAAACTTAAGAAAAAAGAATTTTTTATTGAAAAAAAGTTTGATGAGAAATTAACAAAATTATGACTATGCCAAAAGGCTGGAAATCTAACGAGAAGAGAATTTTAGAAGTTTAAAATTGTGCAACTATGTAAGAAATGAAAAAAAAATTTGATAAACAATTAATCTGACAATAAGAAACTTTTACATTTTAATAGTAGTAGTAGTAAATTTTATTTAATGCCAGTGTTGTTTTATTATTTTTTCTAGATATCTATATACCTTGTAATTTGGGAAAATATCTTTTACGATTCTTTCTCTCTTGTTTAATCATTTTAAATACAATGTTCATACAGAAAAATTATTGAAATGTATATTATGTAAATTATAAACAATGAAATAGTTTTATATTAACGATTAATGTGTGCCACGCACCAAGAAGTCTCCCTGAATTTTTAAAGGGAGAAATGTCTCCCTAAATTTTGGGTCTAGGTTGGTCGAGTCTGTGGACACACATATCTTAAGGTAAAAGTTTGTTGTGAACTACTCGAGAAAAAAATATGTCAAAGTTCCAAATTATTTTTATTTTTATTTTTCGACCGCCCAATGCATATTTTTGTGTCAAAAAATCGTAAACCAAAAAAAATAAAAACTCTGGCCTAAGTATTATGATTGTTATAATGTGACCTCTAACAATTCATTAACACAGGTGCCCTGTCCCGATGCCTACAGAGGTAAATACTGTGATAACCAGTACTCACCGACCGAAGTCGGCCAGAAATATGCAGATGAGGTCAAGGACGTCATCAACAAAATCCACCAGCAGGGAAAGAAAGTCAGCTTCTACATAGCAGAGTCAATGCAGAGCTGTGGGGGTCAAATCATAATGCCAGAGGGCTACCTCAAGCAAGTCTATAAGTAAGTCATGACATCATACAAGTCAAAAAAAGACCAAGCAAGTCTACAAGTAAGAGATGACATCATACAAGTCTACAAGTCAATAAAGACCTCAAGCAAGTCTACAAGTAAGACATGACATCAGACAAGTCTACAAGTCAGTTAAGATCTCAGCGAATCTTAAAATAACCCATGACATCATAGAGGTCTACAGGTCATTAAAAACCTCAAGCAAGTCTTCAAGTAATTAAGTTAAGATATCATACAAAGCTAAAGAAAGTTAAGATCTCAGCAAGCCTTCAAGTAAGCCATAAAATCATACAAGTCTACAATTAATCTTCAAGTAAGGCAGCTTGAAACACAAACTACACAAAGATACAGAACTATACTTATTGCTGTTGCGCAGTTTCAAATCCAAGAGTTACTTTCTGTTTGTTATAAGTACAAACCAGAAGAGGTACAGTCTCGTCAGAGACTTCTGGTTTTTAGCTCACCTGAGCCAAAGGCTGAAGTGAGCTTTTCTGATCACATTTTGTCCGGCATCCGTCTGTCCGTCTAGCTGTCCGTCTGTCTGTCCATCCGTCTGTCTGTCTGTAAACTTTTCACATTTTCAACTTCTTCTCAAGAACCGCTGGGCCAATTTCAACCAAACTTGCCACAAAGCATCCTTGGGTGAAGGGGATTCAAGTTTGTTCAAATGAAGGGCCATGCCCTAATTCAAGGGGAGATAATTGGGAATTAATGAAAATTTGGTGGTATGTTTTAAAAATCTTCTTCTCAAGAACCACTGTGCCAGAAAAGATGAAACTTATGGGGAAACATCCTCAGGTAGTGTAGATTCAAGTTTGTTCAAATCATGACCCCCGGGGGTAGGGTGGGGCCAAAATGGCCGATCAAAGTTTTACATAGGAATATATAGGAAAAATCTTTTAAAATCTTCTTCTCAAGAACCACTCGGCCAGGAAAAATGAAACTCATGTGGAATCATCATATGATTGATCATATTTATATGGAAGCATCCTCAGGTACTGTCGATTCAAGTTTGTTCAAATCACGACCCCGGGGGGTAGGGCGGGGCCACAATGGCCGACCAAAGTTTTACATAGAAATATATAGGAAAATTCTTTAAAAATCTTCTTCTCAAGAATAACAAAGCCATAATTGATCATATTTATATGGAAGAATCCTCAGGTAGTGTAGATTCAAATTTGTTCAAATCATGACCCCCGGGGGTAGGGCGGGGCCAAAATGGCCGACCAAAGTGTTATATAGAAATATATAGGAAAATTCTTTAAAAATCTTCTTCTCAAGAATAACAAAGCCATAATTGATCATATTAATATGGAAGCATCCTCAGGTAGTGTAGATTCAAGTTTGTTCAAATCATGACCCCCAGGGGTAGGGCGGGGCAAAAATGGCCGACCAAAGTTTTACATAGAAATAAATAGGAAAATACTTTAAACATCTTCTTTTCAAGAATAACAAAGCCATAATTGATCATATTAATATGGAAGCATCCTCAGGTAGTGTAGATTCAAGTTTGTTCAAATCATGACCCCCAGGGGTAGGGCGGGGCCAAAATGGCCGACCAAAGTTTTACATAGACGTATATAGTAAAATACTTTAAAAATCTTCTTCCCAAGAATAGCAAAGCCATGATTGGTCATGGGACTACTTTTGATTTAAACTTTTCAATAATAAACCAATTTCTACTTTTTCTTAGCCACAGTGCTCTGGTGAGCGATGTGGCCCATGGGCCTCTTGTTAAATTTTTAGAGTTAAGAAACTGTTTTCTACATCAGTCAAACCATGAAATTAATTATTCCTTTACCAGAGACACTAATTTGGTAATTTGTAATTTCCTTTAACCTACAGCTAAGAGGGATAACCTAGTTAACCCTCACTTGTCAAGCTGACAATGTCACTGAATGTATGTCAGTCAATAACCTAATAAATTACAGAATTAGGAAAAATGTCTCACTCGAGGCTTTTTTGTAACTTAAAACTTTACAGCTTATTATTACACACTTAGTAATAAATACAGGTTTTTTGCATATGCGATATGGCTGACGTCACAATAGCCGTATCAACCCTGCAGGGCTGATATGGATTTGCGGGGCTGATATCCGTATCAGCCCTGCAAGGCTGATACGGCTATTTTGACGTCAGTATCACACCCTTAGTAAATTAAACCACAATAACAGTACTTGTACTCATACACAATTTTTGGTGGGTTCATATTCTCTTAATTTTAACTTTTTGAAAATAAGGTTAATCTTAATTTACAAATACATGTAATACTATAGAATATTTTCAAATTAAAAGTGCATTGAAATAGAAATAGAAACAAACCCAAATCTTATGAGACATTAGACTATGTACATGTATGTAAGAAGTCCATGCATGATTATTTACTTATTTTCTTCTCAACTGTATTTTATTACTAAGTATGTAATAAATATAATAAAACATACCCTTTTCCACATCACATCCTGTATCAGCCCTCGACCAATATCAGCCCTCGGGCCTTCGGCCCTCTGGCTGATATTGGTGTCTCGGGCTGATACAGGATGTGATATGGAAAAGGGTATGTATTATTCTCTATGTAATTTCCTTGAACATTCATAAAAATAAATCAATTTTTTAATTAAGTAAAGTGAAAATAATAAGATTAACAAAGTCAATTAAGGCATTATCCTTATAAAGATATAGATTTATACTGTTAGCACACAAAATAACAAATTTCTAGGCATTCACTTAAAATACAAGTGCTTAATTAAGAAAAATAGACTCTGATTAGCTGCAGAATTTAGCTCTCTGCTTGAAAAAATTCAGACAGATAAAGCAGAGAGCTACAGTTCCAAGCGTTGTAAAAACCTTCGATTTACACTGATGATTTTTTGTCGCTACGTAAGGTATTTATTTCGTGTAGTTTAAGCTTACTCTGCCTTTTGGAATGGTATCATATAATAATTCATATATCTAACTCTTATATTTGATACTTTATTTACCTTTTAATGGTCCGAAACAGTCCTGTATATAGTTTTTGTAATGTCGGTTTAAAAGAGTTCCATTTCGATGTCCGTAACCACAAACAGCCATTTGTTAATGTTTAGAGGTAAGTAATTATCAGGAATTGAAGTTAAATATATGATTAATCATTAAATACAATTTAAAATTATTTTCAAAGCTGGGGAAAACATAAAATACAAGAAGGAATACCTGTATTGAGCGACAAAAAATTGTCGGCGTAAATCGAAGGTTTTTACAACGCTTGGATCTGTAGCTCTGTGCTTTATCTGTCTGAATTCTCTCAAGCAGAGAGCTACAGTTCTGCAGCTAGACACTGATATGATAAAGTAATTTAATTCATATATTCAATTTTTTTTAAGTATCATTAATTGTGTGTATAATCTCACCTGTCTAATTTGACACAGGTACGTCCATGATGCTGGGGGTGTGTGTATAGCGGACGAGGTGCAGGTGGGATTTGGGCGGGTGGGATCACATTTCTGGGCATTCCAACCTGAGGGTAAGCCTTACTATTACTGTAAACCAACTATTTTTCAATTCATCTTTTATTCTCGATTCATCATTTTTCAATCAGTCTTTGATGTTTAATTTTCATGACTGAAGAAACGTCCTTTACCAAAACAAAGCAAAATAAATGGTTCATAGCCTTGGTGATAAAGAGAAAAGGGGCCATTTTTATCTAAATAGACTAAATAAGCCAATACTAGTACATATGTCACCTGTGTGTGTCTTCTCCAGGAGTTGAACCTGACATAGTGACAATGGGTAAACCAATGGGAAATGGTCACCCAGTGGCTGCTGTGGTAACGACCCAGGAAATATCAGACAAGTTCAAGGCCTCGGGAATGCAGTACTTTAATACAGTGTGTATTCTGTCTCCCATTCTTGTTTTGTTTCCATGTTTTGTTCTTGTGTGTTAAATCTATATCCTAAAAATTTACTTTCATGTGGTAAATTTAATTTCAGGTTTTTTCTCAACTGTTGAGATATTTGTATTACAGATAGACATATTTATTATATTTGTGCTATTGAGGAATACAAAAATAATAGAGTTAGAGATGATCATGGGACCTATTTCTCCTTGTTTTATTTCAGTATGGTGGTAACCCTGTGTCCTGCGCAGTGGCTCTTGCTGTGCTTCACGTGATTGAGGAGGAAGGACTCCAGGAGCATGCCCAGAGAGTGGGAAACTACTGGATAAACAAAGTCACGGAACTAAAGCAGAAATTCCCCATCATTGGGGATGTCAGGTTTGTTAAACCACTACCTTTTCCGTTATTCCATATATATGGTTAAATTATTTTATTTTCAAAGTGTGTAATTTTAAACAAATTTTTTCAGGGGTCGTGGTTTATTTCTGGGGATTGACCTGGTGAAGGATCGTAAGACTCGGGAGCCCGCTATACAGGAAGCCCAGACCGTGGTCAGGAGGTCAGTCTAAAAATAGAAAACCACAGAGAATTCAAAAATACCTTGTAAATCTGACTCTCTTAAATATCACTCCCACTGCAATACTCTATAAATCACCTGATATGGAGAACACTTCAGCACCACTTCATTCCTAAAACCCACATAAATAAAACATCTAGATTTATAAAGTTATGAGGAAGTTACTAAATATAAATTGTCCTTAGATGTTTGATAAAGAGCGATTTTATGCATGTGCAGTTTATTGAAGATTGGATGATCTTGTACCTTGATTCATGTTGTATTGTTAAAGGGGAGTTTTGGGTAAACCAACAGCATCTGTGATCATGTTATTAAGACAGTGTTAATTGATACAAGGAATTACTTCAGTGGGCTGTAACTTTCATGTAAAAAAAAATTGTTTAAACAAGTTTTTAAGCTGTTAAATTTAAAACTTGTCCCATCTGACAAAAGCCAAAATAGTAGTGTAAGGGAGACAACTCCTTTTAAATTTTGATATATTTTGCTTTATGTAGAATGAAAGAAGAGGCCCGAATTCTGATCAGCTCTGATGGACCATACAACAATGTCCTCAAAACCAAACCACCAATGTGTTTCAGCGAGGAGAATGTGGACTTATTCTGCTCCAAACTGTCGGAGATTCTCACAGACCTACAGACAGATGAGATTAAAACTGTGCTGAAAGACATGATAGAAGACGTGGAGAAAACGTCCAGTACGATAGACGTCAACAGGAACCAGTCGTCGGCCAGTGAGTGGGGCGTGACCGCGGCCGTGTTCTAATTAACTCGAGTCAATTGTTTGGTGAAGGTTAAATCATTAACAGATCTGTATGTGGGCTAGTGAATGAAGTATTTGTTTCACTGCCTTTTATAAAGGTGATTTATGTACATCTTGCTGCAATGCAACTTGTATCAATGCAGAAATAAATTGTTAATTTTTTAGAAAATTCTGTAATTATATGTTCTGAATTTTCAGAACCATTGTTAAAGATGAATTTCACATTGATTAATATCCATTGCCATGAAAATGGAATGTTTTGATTGTTGTTAAATGTGTAATCTGAAGACTGTATTATTTACAGGCATACCTCTTGACTTCCTCAGGTATATTGACAATTGTTGATTTCTAACCAGACAAGTTTCCTTGTTGGATATGTTGGTTGGATTTAAAATCAACCCAAACCCTGCATGGTTTTCTTTCCTTTTTTTTCATTAGAAAGAGATTAAAAAAAGAATACTTTTTTTTTTATTCCAAAGCTTAGTGCTTTGGAGATATGACTAATAGCATCAGGCCTTAGGTCTTATAGGTAGGAAGCGATTCTTTTCTCATTTACGCCAGCACTTATGTAATGTTAAGGACATACGCAACGTACATTACCTACTGATAACTTTTCAAGATATTCTTAATTTAAGATTATAGTGCCATTAGATGATCATAGACAAAAATTCGGCATGTATTACCAGGGTTTTTTGGAAGATATCAAATTATGAATTTTTTTGCATTATTCAAAGAAAAACATACAAAAAGTACAAAACAAAAATTCCAGATTTTTTCCCAATTAAATTTATTTTAGAAGAGGTGTATAAATCCATATATAGAAATTTAAAGTATTGCACACACGTCCTTCATTTAGTGGATTTCTTCAGTTCCATGGAAGAACCCAATAATGTTCAAACTAGGTTGCGTATGACCTTAAGGGCATTTTATTTGAGCGAACATAGATTTTTAGATTTGGTAAGTTCTTATGTGTATTATCTGTAAACTGCAGGTATCTATTCCATTGTTATGTATTGCCATAAAATGTTTTAGCTTGTACGCTACACAGCTTTGAGTAGAATTTGTTTTAGAAATAAAGTTGTATCTTTTAGTTTACGGACTTAATTATCATTAATTTTAAATAAGAAGTCTATGAAGCTTAATATTCACCTGATACCAAACTGCTATAGTAAAACTGACGTTACAAGAAGTCGTGTGTATACCATGTAGATCAAAACTGAGTATAACTCGGTATAAGTGAGGGTTTATGAACCTCTGTTACTTCAATAACCCAAAGCTAAAAATACCAGTGAAATTGATTTTGAGGAAGGTTGGGGGGGGGGGTGTTCTCAAAAGACAAAAGGATGCTATCATGCATGTATGTATCTATCGAAAACGATATATTTAAAAACGGCTTATAGAGACAAAAGTGTTACATTATCCATACCAAGTAGTGCATATTAGACTACAAAAAGGATGTGTCGACCCTAAATATAAAAGAAAATAATGAAAGGGGGTGGGGTGGGGGTCCAGCCTCCCAATGCCTGTGCATTAGTTTCCTATCCTCAAAAGACAGTAGATAGGATGTAGCCGGCAAGTGCAAAAATCACTCATACATGTAAGTGGACCTGGACAGCACAGAAATGGTAAGCTAAGGTTATCTAAAAATGTCCACTGAAGGGTAAAATATAGGTCAGCTTCAATCGAAATGTACATGAAGGTAATCAGATTCACTCAAGCATATTATATAGAACAGGTGAAGCTGTGATCTTGCCGATATATGCGTAAGACCGTACAAAAATTCAAAATATTAAATATGGAGATAATGAACAATAACAAGAGGACCATGAGCCACATCGCTCACCTGAGCACTCTGGTTAGGAAAGAAGCAAAAAACAGTTTATTATTGAAAAATTTAAAACCAAAAGTGGTCCCAAACAATCCTTAAAGGGGAGAGGGTATGATCTGAACAAACTTGAATCTCCACTAACTAATGATGCTTGTATATTTCTTTGACTACCTATGGCTTTATTGCACTTTACATTTGAACATTGTGCCCCCCCCCCAACCCTGCCCAACTAAAATATGACCAATCATGGCTTTGCTGTACTTGAGAAGAAGATTTCGAAGATTTTTTCCTATAATTATATATAAAACTTTGATCGGCAATTGTGGTCCAGCCCTACCCCTAGGGGTCATGACTGAACAAACTTGAATCTAAAATACCTGATGATGCTTCCATATAAATGTGACTAATCATGGGTTTGCTTTGCTTCAGAAGAAGATTTTGAAGATTCTTTCTATATATGCATATGTCTATGTAAAACTTAAATTGGCCATTGTGGTCCCGCCCTACCCCCAGGGGGTCATGATTTGAACAAACGTATATCTACACTATCTGAGGATGCTTCCATATACAAAATGTGAAAACGTTTAGTTACAGACAGTCAGACTGACCGACGGACGGACAGCTATAGACAGACGGACGCCGGACAAAATGTGATCAGAAAAGCTCACTTCAGCTTTCAGCTCAGGTGAGCTAATAAAACTCGAACATAATGTCGACTAAAATACAAATATGTGAGCAGAGCTCGAGCAAGCACAGACTTCTCTAAACATCAGAGGTGGGGTCAAGTGCCATTGGGGAGCGAGTATCCTCGGTATGCTGTCGGGTCACACCTGCTGCATGCACTTGTCACAATCGGGAAAATGTTCAATCCTTAGATTATTAATTATGTGAATAATGGTCAAAGTATGGTAAATGTCAGGCACCATTTAAATGAGATTGTTGATATCCTTCTTTCATCAACTTTTTTGTCATTAGTGGCGAATGCTCTTGCGTATCAAATCAACTGAGGCATAAACTCCACATGCAAGCGATAAGGGTACCCTGCCACCAAAGCAAGGGAAGTTGGCGACTGAAAAGTTAAAATCTACTTTCTTGCAATTTACAACGGAACAACACCTCTCCCCTCCCATTACGCAAAAACTTAAATTTGTTGTGAAGAGGGAAATATAGTTAAAAAAAATCAAATACATTTTCTGTTAGAACCATTTATTAGTATAAAACAGAATATAAATAATACTATTGACATATATCACAGCTCGAGTGTCGGTGAAACTCAGATTTAGGCACTGGGTAGACCCTGTAAAGTGTGCCGCTATGTGGCTACATGTACTGATGACCCCCTAATATTGAGCAGGAACTTGGCAATACTGTAAAAAAAATCTAAACTATTTTACGATCATTCGGTATTTGTGCACATACAACAAATTTGCAAAATGTAGCACGAGTGTAAAATGCGTCAACATCCATTTAATTCAATATATATATATACAATCATTCAACCATTCCTTACACCATTCAGATGAATTGTCAAAAACACACAGATCTGTTCGAATCACACAAGTATTCATCTAAACTGAAATCATTATAGTGGTAATTCTACGCAATTGCGCCACACAATTACACAAAAGACGTCAAAATATAACAAAAAGCAGGTAAGACATCTTAGTTCTTACGATAAAGTCAGCAACATGTGCAGATAGTCTGTCCTCAGTCAAGGCACAGTTGTATAAAAAAATAAATCTATGAAGTAATACTTATCACAGGCAATTAAAAAAACATACACAATGTGTACAAAGAGCGAATTCACAACCATTATTTTTTTTCTCGGAAGTCATGTAGATTCCCGTTCGATTTAGTCTGATAGAGGGCATCTTCATTCAATCTCTGATTGGCTGTTTCACAGCCTTGATGATGATTATGACGTCACTTCCGACAGCGCTTCATCTGTTGGGCTTGCTGCCGTGTACCGTGTTGGGTCTGACGGCGGCTGAGCCCGGTGCCCCACCAGATCGCTGACTAGGGTAAACAGTGCTGGGTCGGGAACTAGCCTTAGCTAACCACGCAGCTCGTTTCTTCTTTTCCAACATTTCTTCGTCATTTTGTTGCTTTTCTATGTACATTTGTTCAATATTATTGATGAACTCCTTTTCTTGTTCGTAGGTCCGTAGTTCAAACTTGACGTGGCTCCTCATCGGGTCGTTATACTGGCTGACTTTGCCGATGGCGGTATCACTGGCCGACCTCAGCACTGTCTCCGATTTAGCACGACGCTTCTCCTGAATCAAGGCACTTAATTTCTCCTTCATGTCTTTTGGATACATTTTCATTGGCACTAAGTTAACATCGTGCATTGAGGAAGATATCCCCGCGGGCTGTTTCTTGTGTTGAGGCACGACCCCCGGGAGAGCGGAAGCGATGGTGGAGGGGACGTCACTGATGGCGGTATCCGGTCGTCTGATGGTCGGCGCCGTCACCGGACGTCCCGTCATGTCCACTTCCACCGCGTCCTGTCTGTGAGCGGCCGCTGACACCGGTCTGATGGATCGGCCGACAGGTACCGTGGTCTTCACCTTCTTTGGGTGGAGACTCATCCTTATTTTTGTCTTGGTGGGCTTGATTTCACAAGGAGTGGCGTACCGCTCTCGATTAGGACCGGGGGCTTGATCCGATTCTTTAGCCTTGGACGATTTCAGTGATTTGAAGGACTTCGTGTCGGAGAACTCTGATAGTGACTCGGCTTCTACTGATTTGGGGTGGAATTTTTCTAGTCCGAGTTCGTCTACTGGCACTTTTGTCCTGGGGTCAATCTTACTAGGAGATGAGGACGGACGCTTGAATCCATCCAGTCCTGACACCATGGCACGAATATTCTTTTTTGTGTTGTTCGTCGTTTCTGAACTTTGCATTGAATTTTGTATTGCATTTACAGTTAAATATATAAAATCAGGGGGTACTACACTCTCCGCTTTCATTCGCATTTGCGACCGCAGCAGAGCCTTTGTCTCTGAGAGAGAAATGTCTTTAGTTTTAGGAAAAATAGATTGATCAAAAGCCCATGATACTCTCCTCTTCATGAGCACCGGGGCGTGTACGTCGTCGTCGTCATCATCGTCGTAATGTTTACATAAAGGATCGGCGATGACGACACTTTGTATGGATGTCGCGGATTTGAACGTGCTGGGTCGCGGCGGTTTTGACGTTAATGGCTTGGTAGGGAAAGACTTGTTGGAAGAAACCGTCTGTTTGTCTGAACTAGGTCGATGATCCAGGGCGGGCGGGGATGGTCCACTTTCATATCCCGACTCCGGCGCAGCGCTCTGTATGAATCGGGCGCTCTCCAGGCTCTTCTGGCTGAGACATTTCGCACTGTGTGGAATTTGTTTGGCGTACAGATTCATCTGAAGGATGTTTGGCGGGCGGATCTCACGCTTCTTCGGATCATGGTGGATAATTTTGGTGTTACTGGCGCCTGCGCGCTTCATCCTTTGTGCCCGGATGTAGGGATAGGGCTGCGGACGTATGGGTGCGTCAGAGTAGGAACTATACTTGACAGCTGACGGGATTTTGTCGTTCTCCAGTGTGTAGTCCCATGTTACAGACTCAAACCTCAACTCGATCAGGTTCTTACTTGTGTTAAGTGTTATTCTGAAATAAACAGAAGTATATGTATACGTAATGCTTCAAGTGAAAATTAAACCCTTTTTCTCATACCCAATCAATTTAATTCATTTATACACGCAAACAATTAAAGGTAGTTTGTTTACCTGTCATCTATGGCAATTATTGACTGGATTGGATCACTGGCACTGTTTCCGCGCATGATACGACAACACTGTCCACTTATCATGTTCCATATCCGTAAACGTCCGTCGGCGGATCCAGTGATGACGCGTAGGTACTGGAACTCCAGACATAACACTGGCCTAGTGAAAAAAAAAATCAAATATTTAACAATGGGACAGAGTATTTCATTTGCTTTCCTTTCCATTTGAATCGTATTAAATTCGAATTCGTTGATAGTTGCGCGTTCGATTGACTTACTTGGGATGCCTGAGCGCGTTTAGACACCGCGCGTGTTCTCCCTGAGAACTCCAGACCAGTGCATACCCATCCTTACTTCCGGTGATGATGTGCCACCGGTCAAACTTGATTGAAGTTATTTGAGCATGATGTCTTGCTAGCACCTGTAGGAGAGGTTAATTAAGGTAGTGTTCAGTTTGGATATTTATATAATACTAGCTACACGTTCAGTTGTTGACTTCCGGTGCCACCTACCTTAATGAGATCCCCTGACTTGATGTCCCACACCTTGACCTTCCCCTGTTCGCACCCTGTGATACACAGCTCCTGACTGACTGCCACCGCCCACACCGGCGCCTTGTGTTTGAAGGTCCTCTGACATTTACCCGTCTGCATGTTCCAAACTGCAGGGAAGAAAAATTATCTCTACTGAGGCGAAACCACAATTTAAAAGTCGTATTAATCAATAACTAGACTTTTTGTTTAAATAAAAATGTGATGATAAAAACAATATTCAATTTGCACAATATTCATGTAAGAAACGCAGAATTCTATAGTATGTTCGCCAGAAAGGGGTCATCTTAAAATGTCAAGATCTACGAAAATTTCTTGTTTTTTATGGGGATTACAAAATATGACAGATTTTTAAGATTTACAAGAATAAAAAAAAAAAAGAGATTTTCAAAATCCTGTGTTTAAAACTTTAAGCGCAAATATAAACACGTCATAATGACGTCCTTTTACCTATTAGTTGAAAAAATTGTGTGTGTTTTAAATCAGATTTTTTTTTTAATTAAAATTTAACTTATTGTTTTTAAATTTTGTTTGGCTGAACATTACAATTGCCTTCAAAGTATAAACACGCTTTATTTTTCAATTCTAAACAAAATGCATTAATTGTGCAAAGAAAATCCACACTGAAAAACCACCGCAAGGGGCAATCAATGCAACCCCATACAAATAAATTTTTAGACACTTGATTAATTTTTCTTGTGAACTTTTTGAATTTTTCTCTGTATGCACGTATGTGTGCAGCCTACACTGACTTTTATGTAAAACAATAACAGTATTTAAAATATTGTACAAAAAATAATATAAATTGTATATATAACAATTTAAAAAAAAAACGCCATATATATAATGTCTTTGTGATCATTATTGACTCACAGATGATATGAACAGCTAGACTTCAGGTGATATTAATCTGATTCGCCGGGTGTTTTTTTCATTACAAAAATCTGTTGTATTTATCTAGGCCTGTTTAAATATTCCAGTTTGTGGAAATGAGTGGGTTTGTAATACTAAGTACTGCAAGTATTTAATGCTAAACATTGGAAATGCCAGATGGATTTGTTTTAATGTAAACTGAAGGATAAATATTTCCATACGACTACGTCATCTACACAAATTAACCTCAGATCTAAAGCACAAATACATTGTCCATAAAAACAAATTCACTTCTTGTGTAAACGTGCAAAACATGCATATCAAATGCGCGCACGAATTCGAAAAAGAAATGTTTAAAGAATGGATTGCTTATTTGCCTTCACACTTCGAGTAGAGATTAAAAACGCGGTTTGAGTGCTGGTATCAATTCCCCAAGAAGAAACACAAATATTGACTATAAGCGGCAATCCGGGTCTAGAACTGCCTATATAGGAGACTTATTATCTACAAGTAATAAAACGGTTCAGGGCAGTTGTAAATTATTTTTCCCTATCATTGACAGTATAGGGTTTCAAAATAAAACTTTTTTTGGACGTTCATACGTATTCTTTCTGTTTGTTTTAAATCACTGTCCTTCAACAGATCATGTATAAATTTATGGTATTTCTGTTATTTTCCTCAACAAAAAAAATCCTTTGATCCGAACTGTCATTTTGAATTGACCTACTTTTACAGGAATTGTCTTTTGACCCGGATGCTAGGTAGTCGTCCAGGACCAGTATGGTGAGGATTGTGTCCCGATGTCCGCGGAAAATCTTCTTACAGGTGCCCGTCTCCACGCTCCACATCCTATAACCAACCAATCAAATGTCATCATACAATGTAACCAACCAATCAAATGTCATCATTAAAAATACACTCTTAAAACTCAAATTAAAAAGTCTTATATATAGAATTGCAAGACAAGATAAACAAATACCTGATGCTGGTATCATAACTGCCGCTAAGAACGATTCCCCGCTCAGTGCAAATATGGACACACCTAATACTTCCGGCATGACCGGATATGACGAGAGGCAGCTCATTTCCGCTATCTCTATCAATGAACCGGATCTTCCGGTCTTTAGATCCTATGGCGATGTTCTGCCCCCCGTCTGTGTGTATCACGCGATGATGATCTTCACTGTAAAAGAAGTCAATTCATAATTTTCTACTTACTAATAATATCAAAATTAACTGTACATTGTATATGACAGATTTCGTTAGGTTCAAATTGGGAGGTTATATTTAGCTCTATAGTCTTTCGATCCCTCCTCTCACAATTAAAGAGATGTATGCAATGTACTTACACCATAGAGAGAACCATGACGTTGTAGGTCCCGCAGTAAACGTTGCGTTCCTCCATGATTACGTTACGTGTGGACACGCCGCTGTAGGCGTTAGTGAAGTTGACCTCCTGGAGATAGGTGGGGCTGATGACCTCATCATCTGTAAGTTTCACGGTCCGGGTCCCCGGGAACAGGTTAGGGACAGGCACGTCGATGTCCTTGGCGTATTGGTGGTTCACCCCTTGTGCCGCCGCACCCTGATATGACAATTCACATTAATGACTTTATAATCACTTAAAGTTATTATTACAGGGATCAATAGGTCAAATGAGGAATGGAATCTAATATCATAACTAGTGTTTATAAATGTATGCTCTTTTTATGCTATTTCATAATTCTACAATAAAAGATTAGACCGCCACCGCATACTACTTAATTGGTCTTATTCTACCCCATCATTAAAACATATTTCCAAAGCAGCCCCCTCTCCTTTTTCCTCTAACAGTACATGTACATTTGATTATTCAATAAAACGGAACAATGTAGCTATCCCATCACCTAAATGATCTGCTATACCATACAAGTTTCATCGATATGCATTCATAGACTGTGCATGTATACGTCATTTCTCGTTGTTTCAAAATCTGTATAAAAATCAATTTCTAAAAAAAATCTTGAGCTGTCGTATTTTGTCTAGAATGCTTAAGCTTCATCAACTAATCCCTAAATCTTGAAATTTTTAATTATTTTTTATTGAATTTTTTCTGCTATACGATTGAACATTAAACCACGGCGGCGACCACTCGAACACGTTCAATGAAACAACACAGTGTGTCACAAGTGTGATATATAACTGTCCCATAACTTACCTGTACACCTAAAAACTACAATATAGATTTATTTTAATGTTTGATTCTTTACTGAACAAATCGTAACTATCGTGCATCATGCTGACTTGTGGAAACATGCAAACGAGAACGTAACGGGAGTGTAATCTGTGTGGAATTCTCACAGACTTACACCGACAACAATTTGACGACGAATGTTTCACCTGCTGGAGCCTGGCCGTTCAGAACATCCGAATCTTCTCAGAGGCAAAAGAAACAAACTATGCAAATAATGAAATATCGAAAAAACCAACTTTATCAATTAACAATGGTTCTTACGGAACAAGGCGTCGTAAGCTAAAATGAAAAGATACGCTCCAAAGAGATCTAGATTTTGTCACTTTCTCTATTGTAATACATTCCCACCTTCATCTAATATAAAAAAAATATATCCGTAAATGGCCAGTTATTAGAATCTATAGGAAGCCAGATCCTGGACTACTGTATAAGATATACCTTGGTTGGAGCACAGATTGCTTCTGATGGGTTAGTTCTTGTCAGAACGTTACTCTAAGATTCAAAATTTAACATGTTAAAAAAACATTTTTCTTCAACACAGAAAATCAAAGACCTCAATATTTCTTACAAAGAATTTGGAAGAACGTACGGTGTCTTTCTGTTGGAAAGAAATCTTAAATTATCAATGTTTAGATTTTCTGAGTTTGATGGTCTTTGACAATGGCATTGTGGAAAACATGGATCTGTAAGAAACTTGAATTGTTACCTGCATCAACATTACATCCTCCTCTAAGAGTTGGTTGATCCGCTCCTCATCGTGAACTTCCAACACCAGGGCCCTCCAGTTCTGACTGACCAAGAGCGCGTGACTAAGCGACGTTTTGTCCAGTAACTTAAGAATGTACTTAGCAAGATGCACGGGAAGACTGCGGATAAAGTCTTTGTGGCGCGCAACACCAGAGAAAGCCTTGGAAGACGTGGGGATGACCATGCACGCGGGGTCCACAGACGACAGCTCGGATTCGCTGTCAGTGCCACTGTCGTCATTTTCGATGACGTCATCGAGGAGGAGTTTGTCCCCCGTGATGGGGTGGAGTTTGGGCTTGCCGTAGTGTGGGGATACAATAGAAAGCACCTGGAGATCAGCGTGTTCCTCGCTGTGGAAGGAATACTCCGACTCCGGAATAGAGGCTGTCTCCACGTAGTCCTCTTCTGGAAGAGAAAAAAAGACATCAAGAAGAGGTGCATAAGTACGGAGGGTGGCTAGGATGGATGAATGAATACCAGCCCATGCATAGATCGACAAGAGAGAATTTTTAAAAAAATGTTTAGATTTCATTATTTAACTCCTAGCCCATGATTCATATAAAACTTTGTAAAATTTAGTTGTCGTTAAAAATATTTGTCTACTACATGTATAATGAACAGATGCAGTTTCAATATGCATGTATAAATGTAGAAAGAAGAACACTTTGGACCTCTAGATGTTGTCTTTGGGAAACATATTTTTGAAGATCTAAAAAACAGTAGCTCGCTTATTGAGAAATTTTGGATGAATAAACCAGAGAACTACCGATCCAAGCATTGTAAAAACCTGAGATTTACGGCGACGCTTTTTCGTTGCTCGCTTCTGCACTTTATGGTATTATTTCTTGCATTAATGCCATTAAATGCATTGGTCGCTTCGTTTTTTTTTTCAACCAGGGGTCTACAGTTCTGCAGCTATTTTTTTTTTAAATTGTGTGTGGAATGTTAAGTTTCAATTGTTCACCGTTTGTGTCTCTACGACTACGGCCAATTAAATCTTAAAAGTGGTAGGCACGTAGGTAAAATCATAAACAACTACAACATTGTTTCTTCTGTGTATTGCCGTGCTTTATTCAAATACTCGAACTCATTAAACAATAGGTTAACTTCCGACATGATTCTAGGGTATTGATACGATTCGATTAAATTCCATTTTGCTTCAGATAAGGCGAAGGACTGTACAAGAACAATCAAATGGACATAAAAGCAATGTAGGGGTTATTATTTGTGTAACATAATTGGATGTTTTACAATAAATCCGGGATCAATTCTGCTGGAAATGTCATTTAAAAGAAATAAAGCCAACCATTGTTCGTACCATTTTTGCGAAATTGACCAATTTTCCAAGAGCTCTTGACATGCAGGGTCAATCTTAGCATTTGATTTTCAATTAATGGATCTCTTGTTCAAGAATTACTGATGGAAGTTTTGAGAGTGCCGTTTGGAGTACTATTACTTGATAGCTGGACCTACCAATGCCTAGGACCATTGATAGGCACAGAAATAGCTCTAGATTAAAACATTATTGATACGGTTAAATATTCTGACTTATGAAGACCCTTGCGAATGATTCATGGTAACTATGTATAAAACATTAGATATCAGACGTATCTGTCTTAAAAGAAGGAGCCTCTCTACCTCATGCAAATTATATAATACATTCCTTCCAGTATAAAACTTGTGATTTCAAAGATATTCTGCCAGAACTTTGGCACGACGGCTAATTGTGCAGTGATGTGGTTAGTTTTAATTAAAGATGTCATTAAATGTCATATTTTAAATCAGATAAAACGACAGAAGTGCGTTTGGCGGGTTGCCGCCTTCATTCAAACAAAACCGTCTTCTGTCCAAAGGGTCACATGACCGAATCCGCGGGAGACTCCGGGCTTTGAGTTCCCGTCATCGCAGCAGACGTTAGACAGAGACTTGGCAGAACGCTGAAAGAGGTAATCATCTCAACATATATTGTTCCAATCTTGACAACAACGGCCTTTATTCGCCTCTTGGTTTAAACTTCGGCACTTATTCATGCATTGTATACCCTCACAGCCCTATAGCTAACCAAATGCAGAGTCACGGACTGTTAAAATAATGTGTAAACCTAATCCTGCAGACAAACGAAAGGCGATTACGAGAATTCATAATGCCAAAGAAAAATTCTAATTAAAAGTATTAACAATTGAGCAAAAACAGAATTAACTATGAATATCCTACAATTCCTGGTCTATATTGTACTTAGTAAAGAACCTGGGATGATTCTAACACATGAATCCCTAGATAGTGAAAGAATTAGGTCAACATATTTAACAGTGCAATCATGATAAGCAGAAGTAAATTTTCAACATAAAAAAATATGGACTGTATTAAAGTAATCAGTACATTTTTTTAATAACTGAGATAAAAATTGTTGTCTGCAACTTCAATCAATTCCTAAAGGGAGACCTATTCAAGACTAAATGTAACTTATAGAATGTGTATACTATAGTAGTTAGCCAGGTTATATATTTTTTTGATTTGTCCTGCTTCGGGTTATTTACTTTTCCGAACTCTCGATTTGATTATTTCTGAGAATCTTACAATCTATGTAAGTACTTAATAAGATCTGGGTCCGGAGGGACAGCTACTTTAATCATAAAAGCTAACGCAATAGTTGTCAGTCCTAAGATTAACCGGGGTTAAGTCAGCTTAAGTATTTAATATCAAACTATACACAGGGTTATTAAATTTAATTTACGGAGGTTTGAATGGAGTACCTTATCTGAGTTATCTTGTGGGGGGATAAGTTGTCCCCTCAATAGAGACAGCCCTCTGTATGTTTATAGATGGGCATTTGATCCCTGATAGATATGTAGAAGCTTTTAGGGGCTAAGCTTCTGATTTCACCCATCCATACAAGTTTCTTATACCGTTGTCATTTCTTAAATTTCTACCTTACAAATCTAAATCGCTTCTAATTTGAAATATCTAATCTCTGAATACAGCTGCGAATTTAATTTACACTTTGTCAAACAGCGAGATAAAGCTATTTAATGCACTCTGTGGAACCATTAGTATAGACGACATCTGTATTTAATATATAAAGACGAGGTAGAGGAAGAAATCCAATAGAAGAATGTAAATCACTCAGGCTGGTGGTTATAAGATTTGTTTTTGAACTAGTGGAATACATTTCTAAAATATTTTTTCTTTGTCCATTTTCAGTGAATGGGAAAAAGGCATCAACTATTAATCATAAAGAATTTAATTTTATTTCTTTATATAAAACTTATATTTGTAATGTAACAAACCATCACATATACGTAATAGGCAAACCTAAATTTATACTAATAGTGAAAAGAATGTCGATGCTCTTTTAATTAATAGTTTAATATAGAAACAAACTTAATTATTTAATTTTTCCCTTGGGCTCAGTTTAACTGCTTTTGATTCATAATATTAAGAGCTCTTTTTCTTTATATGATCTGATTGATTTTGAGCTTTTAATCAATAAAATCCACAGCAGTGTTTGAAATGATAAAATCTTCAGCTTGAACTGCATAAGAAGTAGAACTTTCAGCTATAAAAACCAATATCTATATAACATTTTTCCTTTAGATATTTACATTCTTTAAAATAATATTTTCAATAGATGTTACCATGACAGCACATATAACTCAATAAAAGGGACTCTTGATTTAGAAGACATTTTCGTTTCTGTTACGAAGAAAAACGTGGGTAACCTTAATACAGAATTCACTAATTTGCAATTTTCAACCATGTGTCAACATTGTTTTCATTTCTTTTAAAGGCAATCTATGCTATATCTATTCAGAAAGATGAACTTTCCTTTCAATACATCTCAATATATAATACTACATATTTTGTATCTATCTTTTTCTACACTAACTATCCACCTTATAACATATATTATGTGGTGCCATGGTGGTGACCTTTTGTTTTACCTGCCTCATATGGTGGTTGCCATTTGTCTGACCTGGTGCCACAGTGGTGACCTTTTGTCTTATATGGTGCCAAGGTGGTGGCCATTTGTCTAACATAATGCCACATTGGTGACCATTTGTCTTACCTGGGGTCACGGTGGTGACCATTTGTCTGACCTGTGTCACTGTGGTGGCCTTTTGTCTTACCTGGGGTGACGGTGGTGGCCTTTTCCTCTGAGATGAGGAGGGTCCGTGCCTGAGAACTGAGGGTATGCAGCAGGGAAATCTCACACAACTGAAGCAAGGATAAAGCAAAGTTAGCTTTTGTCCAATAGTTAGCTTTCTGGAACCACATCCATGTCCCAGTAATGAATTGTTCCACTTCCATCAAGTCCATGGCACGATCAGAGCTAAAGGTTGTCATATCTGTGTCCAGACTCGGCGCCGCTCGACTCCGGGAATACGTGAAGTCCTTACAGGACAATGGCTGCAGTAAACTGACCATCTGGTGTAACAAATCAACACTGTGAAATCGACGCATCAGTCCAAGCATGAACCGCTTCTTGGAGTGACTTCCCAGTTTAGGGAAGAACTCCTTGGCGTTCTTCATGCGGTCACTCAGGAGACACGTTTCACACTCCCCGCAGCTGATGGCCGTGGCGCTGCTGGCACACCGCAGGCTCTGGGCCTTACCAATGTTAAACTCGAACACCTCCAGGTTAGCACTGGGGTGCTTCATGCTGTTGTTGTTGACCGGATTTGACAAGGTGTCCATCCCCTGGGAGTAGTTACAGACCTCTAACATGCTGGTGTTCTCTGAGTCAAAGGATCATTGTCTGCTGATAACCTAGATTTCCCAAACCAATCAATGGGATTATCCCCTCATACAGCATGCTGCAAAAGTTTAAATCAATATTAAAGCAATGCTACAATATGTATATAGTGGGCTTGTTTGTAATTTTAATTTTTTTTTAATTCAAAGCAGAAAAAAATTAAAAAAAAATATCAGACTGTCATTTTATTTATTTCATGTAGTGAATTATCATGTTTTTTAAAATTGTTAAATAATTGAAATAAAACATACATGCTTTTCATCATTTAATTTTCTAACACTTTGAAAAAAAAATGTAATTTTTTAAAAATATTTAAATGATCTAAAACGTGCTTCATTGTATAATTATGCCAATAAGTGAATTAACCTTCATAAAATGTTGAAAGTTCTGTGTTTCGAAGGCTGAGGGTAGGGGTGAGTCCATGCATGCAGGTATTTTGAAAGAGTTATATATCTTAATATTTAGTTCTCCATTTGCACAAAACACTAATAGATGGCCTTTATTTTTGTACCAGGTACCTCTCACTGCAAAAATTCACCGTCACCCGGAAATTCTAAAGCAGGTGCACATGGTGCCTGCATGGAAGGAGAGGGCTAAACGTGTACAGTTCTGGGGGCTGGTTGAAAGGCTAACTTCACAGTGGCAATGTTTTATAAAATCATCAATAACAGTAGATAATACTCACCTGTATTATTGTGTTTACATCCAATCATCCGAGGTGTGAAAACGCGACACAAACAAGTCTGTAAAACTTGTTCCTAAATAGTTCAGTAGTTTGAAAAGTTTGGTTAACACTCAATCAAAGACAAAAAGTGATAAATCATAAATTAAGATCAACTTGACGGTAACAAGGTCTGATACGTTTGACAAACAATTGTCCAGGACCCACTCATTAATATTCAGTCATGATATTGTAAATACCGGCGATTCAAAGATCTAATCAATCGTCTACATCCCCAAGGTGACGAAAATGTGTTTACAGTATAAACAAAGCTAGCATTGGTAGTAGTTTCGGAATAAAATTCGATTTACCTCAAATTCAAAAAAATATCGATGAAATCAAAATAAAATTGATCATAAAACTATCATGAAAATTAAATCCATATCTATAATTGTATCATAATGAGCAGTTCCTTTTAATTTCGCATTTGTTTACTAACCGGAAGTGTAAGTGCGCGGATCCAAATTTTCAGAAAATACAATCATATTTCACTTTTTTCATTTTTTCCTTCAAAACCATGAATTCTTTATTGTAGCTATAAACCATAATTTTAGTAACGAAGAACTCTAGTATATTTTTCTTGGTTAAAGAAGTGGGCTTTTTTCCTTGGGACAATTAGAATATCATGTAAATTAATAAATAATCTCTTTCGAAAGATGGACAGGTCCATATGTAGGTGAAAACCTGTCCACTTCTCAATAGAGAATAAATAATTTTAAGCTTAAAATATGTATGACGTACTTTGTGCGTCGGAACTTACAAGTCAGTTTTTCAGTCCAGAATCTAAAAACTTTTAAAAGACGCATTTACCCATTCTTTCATAGATCATTCATCATAGTGGGGTGGCATTTTTAAAAGTCTATTTATATTCCAGACACTGTGTTAGAAATTAATTATTAAGGAACTTAATTTTCATTTCTTCATAAAATGTTGACTGCGATGAGAAATCATAATGATTGAAGATTAAAAAAAATTATGTTTTTAAACAATTCTAAAAGAACTATTATCTCGACAAGAAATGTAATATAAAGTCAGCAATAACATTAACTGAGAGTCTGAGAGTCACAACTCGATACCACATTATAAAATTACTAGCTTCCTACAAAGAGTCGGCGATGCATGCTTACCTCACTCATTCTGACGTATATCTCTTCCTCCTGAGGAAACAAGCTAGGCATAACTTTTATTTATGATGACATGTTATATTAATTAATATGTTAGGTTTTCACAGCAAACAATGGATAATGATATTTTTGAGAAATTTAAAAAGATATTTTATATCGTTAAGGTGAGACATTTGTGGAGAAAATTAGATTTTAAACACCAAGACTCTTTTGATGAAAAATCAAAAAACAAGAGGCCAAGGGACTATAATGTTCACCTAGCTGCAGAACTGTAGCTCACCGATTTTTTTTTTTTTTTGACAGAGTGTACCTCTCCGGTCTGTCAACATATTTTTTTTCGGAGAGCTACAGTTCTGCAGCTAATGTTCACCGAGTAACTTTGGCTCTACTGTCCTTCACCAGATATTTCCTTTGTAATACCTATTCTTGTCCCAAACTATAACCCCAAGGGTCATGAATCTACATTACACCAGGATGCTCCCACATAAGTTTAAGCTTTTCTGGTCTACTGGTTTTTGAGAAGATATTTTAATGACAGCCCATTTTATTTTTGCATTTCCTTGATCATCATCTCTTGTAATGGGGCTTGGTCAAACTCATTCATTTTGATAATTTAAACTCCCCTTGCCCGAAGGATCATTTGATTAAAATTGGCCCCTTTCGTTAATGAAGTTGAAAATTTGAACAGGTGAGCTAAAAAAAAAAGTATTGATTTCTGCAATACATTATACTAAAAATTAAGCTCTGACACTCTCCCACTTTCGATATCGAGTGCATTAGAAATATATGGTATAATATACATATAGTACTATATAAAACTTTTGCTGAAAAATATTTAGCGAACGTGCTCTCCATGCATCAAATACATGCATGAAGATAGATAATAGATTTAGCATTTGTACTTCGCGAAAAAAAATCCAAATGTCATGAGAACATAAACTAGGGGTGTGTGGAAGTTTTGAAAGAATTTTTATTCAACTTAGTTACAAATGCGGCGCACAAACTGTTAAAAGCGAGACAACTCTTGTAAATTCCCAACTTTGAAATTCGACCTGGGTCCTCGGGAATCGACCTCTTCTTTTTGTCTTTACTTTGATATGGACCGTCCAAATAAACAGAGACACATTGGCCATATCGCTCACCTTAATTGAATTCATTGTCTAGGAAAAAGCTAAAATCAGAACTTTGTGTTGAAAAGTGGACCTTGTAGGATTACATTTGTTCCAACTTAATTCTACACTGACAAATGATGCTTCCATATTACAACCAACTATGCACTGCCTAAGGATGCTTCCAAATATTACTAAAAATCAATTTGCTGTTTTTTAAGATTTCATTAAAAATCCTATGCATATGTATATCCTTTTTTGCTGCCCCCCCCCAATTTCAAGGATCCTCATTTGAACCAATCTTCTACCGCCTCTAAGAGGCTGCTCCAAGCAAATTAAATTTCTAGGCAAGTGATTCTTGAATAGATGAATTTTTTGGGCTCAAAAAGTATATTTGGAAATGTCTTCGTAATCTTCATTTGAAGCGAAAGCCATCTTTTCTCATGTTCCAAAGCTATAACCAAGATAATTCAATTACCTGGTCAAAATTTTGTGACTGACAGACTACTGATTTGTAGTTCCTCACTTCTCCGAAAGCAGGGAAAATATGGAAAGTTGACATTTTACTTCAATAACATCATTTCTTCATTCTTACAAAATTGTAACCACAATTTTGGTATACAAATTCAGAAAACCAAGGATAAAAACTAATATTTTATAATTTCCTCTCAAAGAAAATAACAACACAATATTCCTTAACCAGACATTTATTTCCAGTCCTTTCACATTTAGGCGGCCTCTTTCTGGGCATCCTTTTTGAGGGGGCCCATGAAGTTCCTCTTTTCCTCGAAGGTCTGGAAGCGTCCGTGTCCGTACTTGCTGGAGGTATCAATGAACTTCAGTGTTATCTTCTCCATAGCCTTCTTTCTGAATGTTGCTAGCAAGGACTGCAAAGAAAACAATTCCTCTAGTAATGATACTTCATACACCAATCATTTATCCTAAATATCCTCTACTCATATTCCCATGAACCAGTAGATAGATGTTTAGGTGCTTGATAGATCTGTCCATGATATTTAAGTACTGATTATAAATATATTTGCCACTATTTTAGTTTCAGTGGGAAATTCAAGACAGCCATGTTCTCTTTAAAACCAACTCAGTGTCTTTGACAATTAACAATGATCCAATCAGAACAAGAGTTTACAAGTGTGCTGATGGTAAAAATGACCCTGAATACACGGAGTGACCAACATTCGCCAATAAATAAGAATTCCCAGACTGAGATTACCTTTCTAAGGGTGATAACTCTCTTCCTGGATCCCATACAGCAGCCCTTAATCATGATGAAGTCCTGGTTGACCTCTCCATAATGAGGGAAGCCTCCCATGGGGGTGATGGTCTTCTCAGCGGGGTCGTACTCAGTGGATCCATTGTTTCTGACCACCTGTCAAAATTACATGAAATTAAGTAAAATCAAAACATTCAAACAACGTCATTTAATAATTTGCTTTCTTTTGGAAAGAATTCGTTAAATAATTTGTTCTCTTTCATAAAGAATTGTTTTTTTGCCACAATTTTCCTACAATACAATACATGCAGTAATTGTGTGTTGTACCTTGCCATCCTTTGTGTGGATGCCTTTGCCGATGCGGTAAATCTTCTTGTTGATCTCGGTACGATGATGGTAGCCCTTCTGTCCAGCTCGAGCCACGCTGAACTGGACTCGACTGGGATGCCAAGCTCCAATACAAGCAACCTTACGCAGACCTTTGTGGGTCTTCCTTGGCAGCTTCTTGGTGTGCCATCTGGACGTTACACCTGTTATAAAAGAAAAGTCAGATTTAGGTGATATATCTTCATAGTTATAGATATCATTACATTACAATCACCAGAGACTTCAGAAGGAAGGCAGCATGGTGTCCTTCTACATTAATTTTCGGACTGCCCTGGCAGGGGCAGATACCATGTTTTTACATCATATGTCTCATCACAGCAACCAGATCAGTCTTTAATCAACTCAACATTAAACTTGTTCCCCACTGACCTTTGAACCCGCGTCCTCTGGTGACCCCGATACAGTCGATGTTCTCGTCCTGTGCGAAGACTTGGTCTACAGGGACAGCCTTCTCCATCTTCTCCTTAGCCCAGTCCACCTTCTGACTCACGGTTCCTCCGTTCACCTGGATCTCCATCACATGGGCCTTCTTTTGACGCTTCTTCAGAAGTTTCATCTAAAGTTAGAAAGTAGGTTTCATTTTAACTTTTCCTATTTCATGTCAATATAAACACAATGATATGCATGTAGTTGTACATCTCAATTTCTCTACCAATTCTAAATTTGGCAGCTACCTAACACCGCCTCCCCCCAATTTGATTTTTCAGTATATTGAGAAAGTGCAAAAACAAGCAATTTTTTATTGAGCATCTACACTCCTCAATGGCAAAGAGACAGAAGTTGTTGCACACTGACACATTGATAGATTACCTGGGTGTGGGCAATGACACGGATGACCTTGCAGTACTTCTTCATCTTGGCGAAGTCTCGGTCGATCTCTTTCTTGCCTTCCTCATCCTGCCATTTCTTGGAGTACTTGGTGAAGGCCTTCTTCTTGGCGCGATACCTTCAGAGGGTCAAGATAAACTGTACAACCTCATCTCGTTCAGTGAGAGCGGAGGTTTGGTACAGTGGGACAGCTCATCAACCAGTTGGTCGAGCGGAGCTGATGTCCTTAGTTTCCAGACTTGCGTCTAGGACCAAAAGACTTGCACAAGTTACAGACATAGCTCCGACAACCAACCGCCGAGAGGAGCCGCTGAAAGAGAAGGCTCACCAGACAAGTGGTTGGAGCCATTTTAAAAAGCAATGCACAGGGGCCATTGTAAATTAATGCTGAAATAATCAACACTTTGCAATTAGTTTCAAAGGAATAAACTTCCTTAATTGTTAAAGTAACATTCATTTTTAGTTTTTTATTTAAAGACTTCAAAATTAAAAGGAATTAACTTGTTCCACATTAAATTCTTTCATCAATAAAAGAAAGCGTGTGTTGTTTACCAGTTCTTGTAGAATCGTCGTCTGCAATCCTCACTCAGGTGCTCGGCAAAGATGGTTTTGAATGGTCTCAAACCGTTGGGGGTCTCGATGTACCCGACAACACCAACAACCATCATGGGGGGAGTCTCAATGATGGTGACCGCCTCTACGATCTCCTTCTTGTTGGACTCTGCAAGTCATTGAGACATTAACAATCTGTGGGTTCCCCTTGTGATTAATATTTATATGTATGATTCCAGTCCTCTCTCTCGTGACATGCAACTTTGCATTTATTACCAACATTCTCCAATCAGTGTTAAACTAGTGCCAACTTAGAAAATATTACCTGACCTTTTTAACAAATTATTGACATAGTTTTAAGAAAAGATGGTTTTAAAAAGACCACTAAGAAACAGATTTAATGTGAAAGGGGGGAGGAGGAACTTACTGGATCCTGGTCGGTCGACTTCCCTCACTATGTGGGTCATTCCTGCTTTATAACCCAAGAATGCAGTCAAATGACAAGGCTTGGACTTGTTGTCCTTTGGGAAAGCCTTGCATTTTCCCCTATGGCGCCTGGAGCGCTTTTTAGGGAGGAACGCCTTTGATCCGTGGCGAGGTGCCGAAAACTTTCGATGAGACTGTAAAATTAAATCAAATAATTCTTAAATCAATAGAAAAATATTTATTTTATTCAATTTCAACATTTTTCATCGTTAAGTTTCTCCAATACACTCGATGGAGATAGATTGTGCATCACCATTCGCTCACACACGACCTACCATTTCGGCGACAAACGTGGAAAGGACGACCGAACTGCGGCAATTTGCGACCTACATTTGAGAGATCAAGATTATTTTTTAAAAAATAAAAAAGACAAAGATAAAACATATTTCTTAAAATTATTAACCTTTATACAAATTTTCCTTAAGAAAAAAGAATCATTTTATAATAAATATGAAATATATTCCCTGTCGTAAAACCGCTTTACGTTAGGTCGTCTCTCGGAAAGATGAGAGACGAAGGGCTCGAGGTCGACGGAGACAGAAAACTGCACGAATTTAACATTAGCTGGTTCGATCGTCTGAACGATAACTTTTATGGAAGATTTATACTTAGCTTAGGCCAGGTTTTTAATAAACCTGTCACGTATTTCAGAGGTAAATGTCGATGGGAAGAACATTTCGAATTTCCTCAGTCGGCGCATTCATATTAGAAGTGCTATTTCCTGAGTGTAATGAGTGTCACTCTTGTAAAGCATTGTAAAATATACCACCAGTACATTCAAATTAAGAAATGTCCTCTTAATGCCATGAATTTTAGGTATCATATATAATATTCACTGTTCACCTTTTGTTTATTTGGGGAAAAAACTTGTGTGTAAACTTCCAATTTCCTAAAACCCTGTTTTAGTTTACGAAAAGTGAAGAAAAAAATATAATAGAAAGGTTGAGATCTTAAACTTCTACTCCGAATCTGCAAAAATGATAGGCATGTATTACAGCAAAGTATAAACAGAAAACTAAAGAGTACCATGTTTATTTATTAAATTAATATTATTTTCTTGTTTTGTTATTTCCATTTTTTTTAAACCTGAATCCTATTCTGCTACATTTTTATAATACATATTGTTTGAGTATATTTACAAAGTTGCACATATTTAAAATATCTATAGTATTTTCCTTTTTTTTTTAGAAAACTGGATTGAACCTATTCAGGCTAAGAATCGTGGTGTTTACTACCACAGGCGATTCCGTAGGGTCCCTACAATTGATGAGTGTTATGAAGACGACCAGCTCTGCATCTACGAGGCTAATGATCAGATGAAGAGGGACAAGTAAGTCTGTAACACTTCGTAGCTAATTCTTCAACACTGTGTCCCTTCACTGCCTCATGTTGAAGTAAACTTTTCGTTCACTTGCCAGTATGAGTATTTTAAAAAATCTACTTTCAAATTGGTGATTACAACTTTGAAGGTCGGTTACCAAATGAAGCAATTTTTTTTTTTTTTGATTCAAGGCATTTCCTTAAGCTATCAGTTAATCTTTGTTTATAGCACTCCAATCTGTATTTTCAAGGTTGGTAGATATCATAGTTTTGTTTTGTTTTTTTCTTTGAGTTTTTTAAAATTTGAATACTGTATACAGGGTTATTTTTGCCCCATGTTATTTTTGCCCTTTTACACTTGCTTACAAGTTTGCCTCGTTTTAAATTCGCCCAGTCCCAGTACTGTTTAAGAATTTATACTGTGTTCTTAGAATTTGCCCCATTTTAAATTTGCCCACTTGTGACAAGGGCAAAAGGGGCGAAAAGAAAATGGGGGCAAAAATTTCCCTGTGTACAGTATATAATAATTGCTGTATAAACTTTCAGTACAAAGAAGACGGTACGGTTTGAGCTTTATTGTACCCTAAAAATTTATTGTTCTTAAAAAGTTGTGAAATTGGCTTTAACAATAGTTGAGTAGATGAATATGATAAATCATTAAAACATATGGGATTATGAAGAGCCTTTCCTGAAATATGACGTCATTAATTTTGTACATGTTCAAGTTAAATGCAGAAATGCTTCAAAATGACTCCTTTTTCTGCTAATTTTCCTCTAGAAAATAGTGTCTGCCACCGTCGCCCGCTTTAATTTTTGGATATATTGTGCAAACAGCTATGAAAAATCACATATCTTAAAATCTTTCCGGGCGACGGTGGCAGAGTATGTTTTCTAAAAGAAAATTCCACTGAAAATTGATGTCTTCTGCAACTTTTTAAGAAAATACGGGAAAATGCACAAGTTAATGACGTCACAATTAGCATTTAGGAGGTCATATGAGAATTACCATTTGTGTATTCTTACTACCGAGAATTCCTATGAATCAGAAAGAATGAATTTTAATTTCTTATATCACTTTCATATTTTAGAAAAATATAGGGCTTAATTTGTTAATGTATTGAAACTGTACCTTCTTCTTTGTCTTAGAGAAATTATTAAAGATAAACCCGGTCTTCATAAAACAAAGCAGGCAATCTATTTTCCTTTGAGAAAAAAAACCCCTTAAGATTACAGGCTATGCTTACTAGATGCTCATATTGGTTACCGGATAATATGTCCGATTCATGAAAGCAATTTGTAAGCATTTAGAAGTATCCTCCTAGACTAAAAAAGTACAGAATGATTTCCTGAATTCCTTAGTGTTAGATTCCTTAGTCTGGTACTTTTTAACAGTGCTAACAATTACATGTATTGTAAAGACAATTTAGCCGTTGCTATGTTAGCCATTGCTATGCTAAAGAGAGATTTCAGGACTCACTACCAGTACATGTATCTTTCTAGAGTTGATATTATGATCCCTAGGGGCATTATTTACAAATATGGATTGTTTTTTATTACATGTATGTTATTCATTTATTTATTGCAGAAAAGAAGTGAAAAGAAATCATTACTTATTATATTATGGTTTAATTCAGATCCAAAATACAATATTGTTGCATTAAAGGATTATTTTTTTCACAGAAATGTAGATAAACAAATTGTGCGACATTTGAAGTTTCGATTCGATTCTTGTCGACGAACACACGGTCCTGGCGCTCAGACTCGATGTTATAAGACGTACGAGGACTGGCTTCAGGCAAAGGAAGACTACATGATTAAATGTGAGTATAATTAAATGGTAAAACAGACAATATTATGGGAAAGAGTAACCATGGAATATGTTAACTCCAAACCTGACAACTCTTACGATTTTGGCGTAAGACTTACTGTTGAGCTTCAATACACCTTACAATTTTTCTATTTATCCTTACGATCTCTGTTTCTCTGCTCAAAAGTTAGAAATACTAGTTTTACAATTGTATACAGTGTATAAAGACAAAATGTTTATTGATTACATTTAGGGGGAGATTTACCTGCCCAGCACAACACTTTAGATGTTTACTACAAGCAAGTCCATCGGATGATTCACGAACGTCGTCAGCAGTTACAGAAAGAACAGGGGAGTTCAGAGTAGACTGTGTTAAAGTTGTGGTTTTCTAGTTGACTGTATGATACATTAAATAAATCTCAAGTATATTATAGAGAATTGTCTATAATTTTATGTTCTTCATGGGATAAAGTTTTGATATGCACTTGAAAGTTTTCACTGCTTACAGTGAATCTGAAGAAATTTCATTTAAAGTAGGAACTGCAACATGATCTTGCATTATATACTGTTAAAATTTGGTATCTCAACATGAAATAGGTTGACAACTTGGGATTTGTCAACGTCCGTCCACAGTCCTGACAGAATTTACTATATACATGTAAATGATTTCCTAAAATACTGATGTGTCTACCTCATTATTGTCAACTACCCAGACATATATTTGCAGTTCCAAGAGCAAAATTTGTAGATGCCTGTGCTTGAAATTCTGCTGCAAAAATTCTCATAGCTGGACTTGGCAAAATTCAAACCTCCAAACTAGAATTTCATTTTTCATGAAATATGTTTTAGCCTACAGGCATTTTGGTACATGGGAAGTCTAGAATTTTAACCACATAGCAACACTCTGTACATGTATCTCTACTGAGATTTCAACCAAATAGAGCATACTGTACAAATCTTTGACAGCAAAATATACCATAACAAGAACTTCAAACATTCAAAAGTAAATACATGAACTAGTTTCCAAAATGTAGGATTTTAAACCAATAGGGATACAATTTTATGTGATTGGAAACTCAACAGTTTTTATATCAATCCTGGATATTCATACATCAGAACACACCAATCCTTACTTCTTTACTATATAAAGCCTCAGTTAACCCATGAATGAAATAAAATGACTGCAATCTACACATCCACTTTTGGGTATTACAAGTGTAGGTATATTTTCATTTCTTTTATCCCATGGGGTATGTGAGATACTACAGGTGCAGACATTTGTGTCTATATTCTGCTAATAAATACAAGGTGGTGTTAAAGCTATCATTGGAGTGGATTAAGATTCATTAAAACTATACTATGCTACACTATAAAGATCTGACATGGCATCAAACGGGGCTTAAGGATGAATAAACTGCATTAGTACCACTTGATGTACAGGAACTGTTTTATGGAAAGTCACTGGGGGCTTTCAAGTCATGTTCTATATATTTCATGGCAATGCCAAGATTTCAAACATAACCAAGCTATGATTTTCAATTCTGGTACCGGTCCTTCGGATGAGACCGTATAAACAGAGATCAGTGTCGCAGTAGGTGCTGGCACGAAAAAAGATCCCTCCCTGCTCAATGGCCCTAAGTGCCGAGTATAAGACAAAATTTGCAGCTCTCCACCGGCAAGTGGTGGCGTCTCCATATGAGTGCAAAATTCTCGAGATGGACGTTAAATAACATACTATTAATTCTGGTATATTCCATCCTGAAGATCAAGTCATGATTTGAACCCTTGCCAAGTCGGGATTTATAACATGGCAATCCAATCACAGGGGCTTGTGTAGAGAAAATAAATCAGTTAAAAAAATTAGTACCTCGGAGAAAACTAGTGCTAATTGTAACGGGGACCGTTACAGATGTTCCCCAAACGCTCCCCAACTCCCTTTTGGTGCCATATTCCCTGTAAGCTTCATTAAATAAGACAACCTCTATGCATCTGAGATTTTAACAACATTAACAAAGAAGTGTACAAAAATCATTTAAACTTTAGCATTGCACGCGTGCACATGTGAATGCATTTGCGTCATGACCATATCATCTTGTCTACACAATCTATATTTTTAATATACTGAATATTAAAGTATTTAATCCAAAATTATTTTAAAAAATACGCTCATTCAAGTGTATGTTTGATTTTACTCATTTCACGTGCACGCACGTGCATACATGAGCATGGTGACCATACCTTCTTGTAGAAGTCCATTACATCTATCTATGTTCTAAATTCCACCCCGTTTGGGTGAAAACTAAGGGAGTTATAGCTGTTTAAAGTTTCAGCCAATCAGATTGCAGCACATGTACACGCACGTGTATGCATGTGTATGGTGACCATACCTACTTGTAGAAGTCCATTATATCTATCTATGTTCCAAATCCCATCCTGTTTGGTTGAAAACCTAGGGAGTTATAGCTGTTTAAAGTTTCAGCCAATCAGATTGCAGCACACGTGCATGCACGTGTTTTCATGATAATTGCTTTATTTCATGTTATAGGATATCCTAATGCATGGCTATGTTCAAAATTTCAGAGGATTTCGTCAAAAAACAAGAAAGATATTGAGACTTTAGTTGCAGCCAATCAGAGCGAAGTGCACGTGCATGCGCGTGAGATCTTGCTATTTTCACCATGTCGTCATGTCTATACTACTAATATATCCTCACATTATGAGTTTCAAAGCATTTCATTTAAAAATAGAACAGTTGTGGCTATATCTATTATATTGGTCATTTCACGTGTTGCACGTGCACGCTCTTGCAAGCACGTGCGCGCAAAATGACCTTGATTCCGCAAATCTACATAACATGTCTACTAATACTAAAAAGGTTTTACCTACATCGGACGAACAGTTCACAAGATCATTCCCGGACAAAAAAGTTCCAGGAAGAAGAAGAAGAAGAAAAATAATAATAATAATAATAAGAAACAGAGTAAAAACAATATGTTCCCCAACTTCGTTTGGGGAACATAATAACACGTGTTTTTTCTCCGAGGTATTAATTTTTTTAACTGATTTATTTTCTCTACACAAGCCCCTGTGATCCAATCATGGCAGGTCATGATTGACTTGACCAGGAGTAATATCATGACTTGATCTCCCAGGATTGGCTTTTTTAAATCCCGACTTGGCCAAGATTATAAAGTCATTGCTTGGTGATGTTTAAAATCTAAATATGACGATGATTGCAATCCTGGCAAACCAGGATTGAATTACAGTGAAATGTATAGACCATGAAATATATAGAACATGGCGATTCCCTATGGCTGGCTTTTTATACCATTCAATCATGTAGCAACATTGACCATACAGATAGGCAGTTTTGTGGCATCATTTCATAGAATAGGCTAAATCTTGTAAAGAAAATGACCCAATTTGTGAACAGTTTTTGAAAACTTCACACAAACAACTAATCCGTATGATGAACAAGATGACTTCCGATTCAGCTTTTTCATCCTCAACGTTCCATATTGTGTGTAGTAATATTCCAGTAACACCTCCTTATGGCGTTTGTCACCCATCTGATTCGGTACACAAGCTACACGTAAAATAAAATTTTCAACCCAGACAGACTGCTGACAAATTAGTTAATGTCACAGAGATTTCAACAACCATATAAGAAGTAAGCATTTTGCAGATTCTGTGGTCGTTATTATGACTTATGTGCATATATACCACCTATTGCTACGTGTAGGTAATAATTTGTCCAACATGTTTCATACCAGTTGTCCGCCTTTTTTTTTTTTAAATAATAAATTTGATCATACATGTAGTTGGATAACTACGTCTACTTGATCAATACAGTGGCCTCATGTTGGTTGTTACCGGTCATAGTGAATGCTTACTCTCCTCTTAGGCACCCTATACCATAATTATGTTCCCCAAACGAAGTTGGGGAACATATTGTTTTTACTCTGTTTCTTATTATTATTATTATTATTTTTCTTCTTCTTCTTCTTCCTGGGTACTTTTTTGTCCGGGAATGATCTCGTAAACTATACATCCGACTAAGGTGAAATGTTTTTAGGGTCAGTAGACATGTTATGTAGATTTGCGGAACGAAGGTCATTTTGCGCGCACGTGCTTGCAAGAGCGTGCACGTGCAACATGTGTAATGACCGATTTAATTGATATAGGCATAACTTTTTAAATTTTTGATGAAATGCTTTGAAACTTATAATATAAGGATATATTAGTAGCATAGACAATATGACATGGTCAAAATAGCAAGATCTCACGCGCATGCACGTGCGCTTTGCTCTGATTGGCTGAAACTAAAGTCTCAATATCTTTCTTGTTTTTTGACGAAATCCTTTGAAATTTTGAAAATAGCCATGCATTAGGATATCCTACAACATGATATATAGCAATTATCATGAAAACACGTGCATGCACGTGCGCTGCAATCTGATTGGCTTAAACTTTAAATAGCTATAACTCCCTTGATTTTCAACCAAACAGGATGGGATTTGGAACATAGATAGATATACTAGACTACTACAAGAAAATATGGTCACAATGCACATGCATACACGTGCATATACGTGCGCTGCAATCTGATTGGCTGAAACTTTAAACAGCTATAACTCCCTTGGTTTTCAACCAAACGGGGTGGGATTAAGAACATAGATAGATGTAACGGACATCTACAAGAAGGTATGGTCACCATGCTCATGTATGCACGTGCGTGCACGTGAAATGAGCAAAATGAAACAAAAAAAAAACAATTGAATGAGCATATCTTTTTAATACTTTTGGATTAAATACTTTAATATTAAGTATATTAAAATATATAGATTGTGTAGACAAGATGATATGGTCATTACGCACATGCATTCACATGCGCACGCGTGCAATGCTAGAATTTGAATGAACTTTGTACGTTTCTGGGTAAACGTTTTTAAGTCTCAAATGCATCGAGTTTGTCTTATTTAATGAAGCTTCCAGGGAATATTGCACCAAAAGGGAGTTGGGGAGCGTTTGGGGAACATCTGTAACGGTCCCCGTTACAATTAGCACTAGTTATATATAATGTGTCCAGGGGCCACGTTTTTGCTCCTTTTTTACTGGATTTTTGAGATTATTCATCGCTCGTTTTCTTCACCTTAGAAATTTGGAAAATTGTCAATTTCAATTTTTTTTAGCTATTTTCTTTATAAAAGTTGCATGGATATTCAAACAGTTCTCAACGTTTTTTAAATCCAACCACGTGATAATGTTTTACAACAACAATTAATAAAAAGTAAAGCACATTTAGGAATTGTCTTAGATTGCAGACAATGATTCGACAGTTGTAAACGCTTTGGTTAGATCATTGTGATTCCGTTAATTCAGACACCTGCAGATAAGAATAAATTGTTCGAATCCCAGTGAGAATATATTTAAAGAAT